GAATTCTTCAATAGAAGTTCAATAGCATTTGCTATTAAATTTTTACGTGCGTTTTATTATCGTCAGAGGCATGTCAACATCTGAAACGAAATGAGGAAGAAAATAAACGTGGGAATAATACGAGACAAAGGGCATGTCAGAATAATTCAAATTACAGATGTAGAGAGGATACCAAGGAATTTCTAAATAGTGGAAACAATATAAAAAAAAACACGGAGAATGGGAGGAATAAAAGTAATAATTCCAGGCATTCTGAAAACTTTTGAATAAAGGCTCATGACAATAACGAAATGAGCACAAAATTAACTATGAAAATTTAATTTCAAAATAGGTAATTGTGGGGTAATTGGTCCATAAACTAAGCCTGCCATAACGGATTGTACGAGCGTTTCCTCTAATAGTGAAAGTAAAAGGTACGCTGTATATTTATGTGATAGCAAACTGCTTTGATCGTGATGTATAGTGTTTTCTCGCGTGTGCAGACACCGATGATAGCTCATGGTATCAAATCAATCGAATGGGAAAACAACGTGTTTCTTCGTTTCGATGAATCGTACGTTATCGATTTTGCAGTCGACGGGAATCTGATTGATTACGATATACGCTTGCCTGGAGTCGATGAGAAGATTTTTTTAACGAACGATTGTGAAATTATAATTTTAGCAGAACACTCGAGACGCAAAACACACGCGAAAAAAAGATTATAGAAAACCTGGCGAATTCGCTAGAACATTCGATAGGATTTCTGTTGGATTTCTATTTCTATTAGTTGTAAAAAAAATCCAATTCTGTTGATTATTTTTTAAAGAACATTTCCCATTGAACATTCCAATCCTGTCACCAAAAAATGCAATGTAATGTTTTTATTATATAAAATATACTAAATAAATTATGGTATTTTTCTATATTGTAAAAATCCAAATTGACTTCTGGTGACGAAAATTTGGTACTCGAAATTAAGACTCCAAAATTAAGGGTCACGCGGGTCGGAATAAGGGTCATGAGGATTCCGAGGGTCACAATAAGGGTCGGGAGGGTCCAAATCAGTAGCGAAGCGGTAAACCGGGTTAAGTCGATTTTGACTATTGGCCAGTTTTTGACGAATATCTCGGAATTTAAAAGAGATAGAAAAATTTTTCTCATAACCTTTTTTGTAGAGCCAATGGAGGGTTATAACAATGGTAATGAGAAAAGTTTTGCTATCTCTCTTAGATTCCGAGATATTCATCAAAAATTGACCAAAAGTCAAAAGCGACTTAACTCGGGTTACCATTGAATCAATGGGTCAGCCCAAGGGTCATATATGGGTGAGATTAAAGGTCCAAATCAGGGTAAGAAGGGTCTGATTAAGGGTCTAAGTAAGGCTCACAAAGGATATAATGAAGGTCAGAATGAGGGTCTTGAGGATCAGAGTAAGGGTCACGAGGGTCAGAATAAGAGTCACGAGGGTCAAATTGCGGGTCACAAAAGTTTAAATAAGGGTTACAAGGGTCAAAATAAGGATCATGGTGATCATACGGGGGTTGGCGAGCCGAGAGAGCAGGGGACGTAGCCCCTAGTATAATATTCTATAGAATACTCTATAAAAATAGTATATTTCGTCATTAGGCCGAAAAAAACTTCTGGCGAATATGAGTTTGCAACCCGAGCCGAAGGCGAGGGCTGCTATCATATGAGCTAGAAAAGTTTTTTAGGCCGTATGACGAACAATATTTTTTGGCATAACGGCCTTATAGCCGGAATGACAAAAATTCTTTTAAAAAATTGAATAAAAGAAAGCAAAATTGCATACAATATTAAAAATGGTATAGTATAGTATATACTACAGTATTTTATATGTAATATATTTTATAACAGAAATTATATAACAAACATTTTTTTAAATGAAGAAAACAGAAATGAAGATGATGTAATAAAATTTATTTTTATAACTTAATAATGTAAATTTATAAACCAAAAATCTTTTGCTTTCTACAAGTTCTCGACGAAGAACTAATAGAAAGTTCAATACAAGTCCAATAGAATTATCTAGGGAATTTGCTAGGTTTTTCCGTGAAATATTTTCCGTGTGCGCTGTTGACATACCTCTCACGATAATGTCTACTTCATTTCAAATTACCTCGGACGGTTTATCTTGATTCTAAATGAGGTGAGTAAAGTGGCCTGATGAGTTTTCGGTGTTCAATGGCTCTCCTTACTGATAATTGTTGGATGCTTCACCGGTTTTTCTGGGAAGAGTCGAATCATGTGAAAAGACTGCGCTCCGGGTAAAAGTTGTGAGTGATGATGAGTACGCGGAATTTTTATTGCATCATAATTCAGGAGTGTTGTTTCTATTTTCCATTTCGAGAGAAATTCGCGAGGATATTCATCCTTTCTGGGGATATGTATAATTTCTGATTAATGATTCGTGGGAATTGATGAGTAAAACGGTTAATGAAGGTTTTTGTCTAGGTTTTATCTAGAATTTTTCATCCACGCAATAAATTTATTTATTTATTAATTATTTCTGAACTGTTTTTTGGGGGTAATCTCGGGCTGTTTGAGATTATTGCAGATAATATTCTATTTGGAATGTTGACGAATTTTTCACCGATTGAAGATAAAACAATTATCAATCATATCATCAAACGATGGATGATGAGTTTCTCTCCGTCGATGAATGTGATTTCTGTCGTGTTCGCAGCGCCATCAGGAAGTATTCATGATAAAACTGATTTGCAATGACTTGTAATTCGTTAGCAGATGAATATAATGCATTTTTCAGTGTTTAAGGATTATTCAATTAATTAGTTATTAAAAAAACTAACGATGTACTAATTATGAATAAACGTTCACTCGCCGAAAAATTTCGATTTTGCCAGAAGTCGACTTTTCCCCTGGAACAATCCAAGGTCTGACACTGGCCCCAGGTGAAAAAAAAAAAGATGAATTGAAAAGAACAACTTTCTCATGATATGAAAACAATTCTGTGCTTATTTTGAAAAAAAATTAATGAAATCACACTAAAAAACAAAAACAAATGTTTTTGTAAAAAAACTCTGCCAAGAAATAGTTTCGTTCAATTTTTACTGGAAAGCTTAATTTTTTTTTTAATAAAAAAAATGAAAAAGAAAACCAAGTCAGGTATCCCAAATAAATGGGACACGATCAGATTTCTGTAAGAAAAATCGCTATCATTAGAAGAATTTTTTTTTAATTCTCAATAAAATAAAAAATCAGTAGGAGCGGGATGAACGTTCTTAGCGCGGATTTTTTCTGCTCACTATGTCAATCTGATCCTCCATCTGCTGATCCGCGCCAAGGACGTTGGTCCTGCTCCTACTGATTTTTTATTTTATGGCGAATTTTTTAAAAATTCTTTTTCTGTTGATAACAATTTTTCTTACAGAAATCTGATCGTGTACTATATCTATTTATTTGAGATTCCGGACTCGGCTTTCTTTTACATTTATTTTTACTTTCCAGTAAAAACTGAACAAAACTATTTTCCGTACTGACCTTCACTTTTCCTCATCCGGGAATTGGTATTGGCCCTTCCCCAAACTTGTGAAAGTGAAAATCACTACGGAAAAATATCGTTCACGACTAGTGCCATGGGGTTTTTTTTACTCGTGTGGTTGGCCAGTTCTCGCCTTCGGCTCGAATGCCAACTCCACGCGAGTAAAAAACCCCACGACACTCGCCCTGAAATATACTATTCTTGGCACAGTTTGTTGACAAAAATATTTGTTTTTGTTCTTTAGGGTGATACATCTACTCTTATTTCCACTTGATCCAAGCAAATCACTAATATAATTCCCTCTCCACCGCATTTGTGTCTGACCGCTCGAAACTGCTGCGATCTTCACGATTTATTTGAAATTTTTAACAACGACAAAGTTACATGGAATTCCTATATATTTCTTCATTGACAAATCAATGTCAAATTCTTGAATATTAAATCTGTTGAAAATTGTATTGAATGCAATGTTTTCTTAATTTACATAATGAGTGGAAATTTAAAATTTCATTCGAAAATCAATAATTGTTCAACATGAAAAACCCAATTTTTTGAATTTTCAAGGTGAATGAGAAATTTCATGAATGTTTTCATTTGGAATTGAATTAGAACTCACAACATTAAGAATCCAGATGACACTGTGACTGAAATTTCACGAAATTTCTAACAATGTAACGAAACTGCTGCGATCTCTACGATTTATTTGAAATTTTTAACAACGACAAAGTTACATGGAATTCCTATATATTTCTTCATTGACAAATCAATGTCAAATTCTTGAATATTAAATCTATTGAAAATGGTATTGAATGCAATGTTTTCTTAATTTACAGAATGAGTGGAAATTTAAAATTCCATTCGAAAATCAATAATTGTTCAACATGAAAAACCCAATTTTTTGAATTTTCAAGGTGAATGAGAAATTTCACGAATGTTTTCATTTGGAATTGAATTGGAACTCACAACATCAAGAATCCAGATGACACTGTGACTGAAATTTCAAGAAATTTCTAACAATGTAGAACTGCTTCATCAGGGATGTTTACTCGCTCGTGTCCTCAAACGAACTGCCCGACAGCCTCAGAAGAAAGACGAAGCGGGGGTGAAGGGCGTTGATATCCAATCGAAAATTCATGTCTTCATTATTTTCTGCATGCACCGGTCTTTCTCATCTGCAATATCTACACTTTATCATTATTCCCATTATCTATAATTTTCTGTTCCGAGAAAGAACGAGTGCCACGGGGTTGCGAGTGCGAGGAAGTATAATGACCAGGTGTAGTCCGTATCAATTCTTAATTTTTTCATCAGGGATGTTTCGTTGCCCAATGACCATGCGCAACGGATACATACTGTCTTTACGCACAATTACATTTGTCTTCCAGCGAGAGCCCACGTTGGCCTACAATACTTACGTCGTCGGAATAGTATACATACGCATATGAAGAGGCAATAAAAATTTCGTCCATGTCTGATTATATAAAATAAATGGGAAGAGATTCAAGAAAAAATTTCGCCATGAATTAGTCACCTTTGTTCGCTGAAACTGAAGGGAATCGAATGAGGCTTCTCTCGATTGCTGAAATTACGTTGATTTTCCTCTCAGTCAAGTGACTCATCCGTAAAAATGTTGGAGAAATGGAATAAGGATGCAGAATACGATTTGGGGTTTTACAGATTAATCAATCGTGGATTGGGAATCTATCCCTTCGAGTGCCAGGAAGTATTTTCCATAATTCGAATGATCATTGTTTTGACGATAAATGTGAGTAATAATTACGGATAAATCGTTGAATATTTTTGCTTCTGAATGGAAGTTTTGTAATCGTTCAAATTTAAGTTTTGGATTTTTTGTGTTATATCGACCCAGTATGATCCAAAAAGTCAGAAAATGCAATAAAGTTTTGCTTCAATTACTCGCTAATGAGTGCATGGAATTGAATCCGATTTTTTCAAATATAGGTATTGTTGAGCCCTATCGATGGCTATTAATTAAAATTCAATTCATTGATTAATTTTTTTAATTTTTGATTTTTTTCCAAAATCGCCTGTCTCACGATAAATAAATAAATGTTCTGAATTGGTTGAATGATGGCTTAAAAAATTTGTTTGGATGTCCTTTTGACCGAGTTCGAATATGAGGGCGATAGCAATAATCGTTATTTTGATTTATTTCAAAATTTGCAAAAATTTTGTATTTTTTAAAATGAGAATTTCAGGGATATGTTTGAATATCATGCTTCAAATGAATTCAATCATTATTTAAAATGTTTATTTTAATGCCATTAAGTCGAAGTTAAAAGATGATTTGGATAGCTATATTGGTTGATTCAATTTTTATGATGATTGTTGAAAAATTCGAGATTTTCATGACTTTCCCTGAAAGTGAGCTTTCTGATAGTTTCGTCAAATGTGATGTTTCAAATTCATTCGAGTATGTATAAATAAATTTTTTGTTATTGCGGCCGTAAGGCAGCGTTTTACGGACGCTCTACGGCCGTCATGACAAAAAATATTGTCCGTCATACGGCCAAAATAGTATATTTTGTGGCGGTTAGGTGTATGTCGTAGAATAATAACTCGTGTTTTACCAGAATAAAGGTGTTGTTTTTAGCACATTAGATGTGTTTACATCGAATTTGAGAATCGGACTAAGTTCGACTGATCTATTTCGTCGGGAGCGTGCGGATCTCTTCTTCTTCTTCTTCTTCAATTGTTATGGCACTGACTGTATGCTTGTCTTGCGGCCTGAGCGTGCGCGTTTAAAGACCTTTTGTTATGGAAGGTACGAGAATTGTCCAGAAATTTCGTGAGGGACAAGGATAGAATAGTATATTTCGTCATTAGGCCCNATTCGCCAGAAAAGTTTTTTTCGGCCTAGTGACGAAATATACTATTTTGTCATTCCGGCCGTGAGGCAACGCTTCACGGACGCTCCGCTCCGCGTCCGTGAATCTCTGCCTACGGCCGTCATAACAAAAAATACTGTTCGTCATATGGCCAAAAAAAACTTTTCTAGCTCATATGATTGCAGCCCTTGCCTTCGGCTCGGGCTGCAAACTCATATTCGCCAGAAAAGTTTCTTTCGGCCTAGTGACGAAATATACTATTCCCTCGTCTTCGGCTCGTGCTGCAAACCTCATATTCGTCAGAAAAGTTTTTTTTGGCCGTATGACGAACAATATTTTTTGCCATGACGGCTGTAGGCAGAGATTCACGGACGCAGAGCGTCCGTGAAACGCTGCCTTACGGCCGGAATGACAAAATGATATTTATCTCGAATACGACGATATACAATATTCGAGACGCGTTATATGAATTTCGAAATAATAATTCGTTTGTGACTCGCGCCACATTTATCGATATAGAACTGTAAAAAAGACAATCAGTTGTACAGAAGACAGGGATAATACGAATGATGATGATAACATTCGACTAAGTTGAAAATCTGATGAAATCAGTTGAGAAGAAATCTTATTCAATCTAATAAAATGAAATAAACCATTACCAAATAAACCAAAATAACCATTCGGAAACATATTGTTAATTTATTACCAACAATAACTATACTATATGCAATACAAGAGCAATTTCACTTGTTTTAAGTAAAAATATTGATGATTTACAGTGGATTATGTTGTACGAACAAGTAATAGATTTGATATCCGGCTGTGGTCAAACGGAGGAAATAATAGAGTCCATAGTGGGAGCACTGTCGTACCCAGTGGCAATAGCCAAGATCATATTGCCCAGAGTCTACTGGAGGAACATGAAAATAATATTGGAGTCAGCTGTTGAGGATTGGTCTCGGCAAAACGATGCCGAAGCTAAAAGAACCATGATGGAGTGGGTGGCCATTGGCAGATTTACCTTCCTCCTAGAGATAACGAGTTTGTGCATGCTGTTGACATACACAACAATATCACATTTTCCATTTTTCCTATTGACACAAAATCATCGGGAGAATAGTAGCGCGATGATAGATGGAAGCTTGCCATGGGGTAGCGGCTGTTGGCTGCCATCGAACACATCAAACCAAATGTTCCTGATCGCCTACTTCGCCACTTGTATACAGCAGATAGTGGGCAGTCTCAGTAACATGGGATTCGATGTATCTCTGTTCATAATTCTCAGTCACATGTGCGGACAGATTGAAATTCTGAAACTCGACAGTGGGAGAAATTGGAATGGTACAAGTTTTGATTCGTCAAAGAATCCACAGGAAGTTTATCGTCAGTTCATTGACAGGCATAACCATTTGCTCAACCTGTGCGATCTTTTTGAGAGGTCATTTAATGTTATTATATTGATACATATGGTGCTGTATCTTGGGTTGGTGACGATCCTGCGTAAGTGCTTTCTGCATCATTCATGACAAAATTGAAAGGATCAGGGATAGCCAAATTTATAACATTTAATTACCGTTAAATATTGCAGCCATCAATTAGTTAACATCACTCTCAAGTTTTTTGAGTACTTAAGTATCATCAATTCAAATATACCAATTTTTAACTATCTTATCAATCAATAATTGAGGTAGGAAGATTGATTATTCGTGTAATCGAAAATCCCCATTAAAAAATTTGAATTATTCAGTTAGTGGTAAATTTACAGTTTGATATCAACAAATTTTAAATAGATCATTATTCGAGAAAAATCTGATTATTAATATTATATTATTTGAAAAATCAGATCAACATATTTTAAACCTTTATTAATATAAATGTCAAATCCTTATAATATTAAAAAAATTTAACATTGATGGCGATCCCTGGGACAGATTGATAAATTTGGTAATTTTGCAGGAACAATGATACGAGTTGAAAATGGTATAAAGAGCATTAATGATTTTGTCATGGATTCAATGAAAAATGAAATTTTGGTTCTAAACTTAGTTTGGAGGTTCATTGCAAAAGTTGCAATTTTAAGAAGCTGAGTGGTTTTTCACGATTCTGATTATTACGCTCATGATATCTTGAGACGAATTATGCTAATGGAACAGCCCTAGAAATCGTTGATTTGTTGATAAATTGGAATTTGTTGATAAATTGGAAATGCGATGAATGACAATGCTATTCACAGTTCGAGCTACAGAATTTTTTTACAGCCTCCCGGTCCATTTTCGGGTCCCACTCGGCACTTCTATCCAACCTATGAAAAATAGAGGGAAGGACGTCGAACTGTGAGGATGGGGCCTAAACCGAAAATTTCAAATAAATCCTAGAGATCGCAGCAATTGCGTGCGGTCTGACACACGCGGTGGAGAGGAAACTTTAGAATGGTATTAGTGATTTGCTTGGATCAAGTGGAAATAAGAAAAGATGTATTTTATTATTTTTAATTGAACATTTGAAGGAAGTTCTGCGCTTTCGTGAACGAAGAACACCTCCGCGTCATTATTATCAAACCTTTTTACGTGGATACGTCTATGGTTTCAATATGGGGGGTCATTTTGGGAACCGGTACTTATGTGCAGCGCCATCTATCGGAATTCTAGAACATTTTCGACATTTCGAGGTAATTCGAGAAGTTTCTTGACATTTCGAACAATCCAAGAGGTTCTAGAAATTTCAAGAGAATTCAGAGAGTGTATCGAAAATTCGAAGGTATGGAAGGAGTTTCTCGAAAACTCAAGGGAATGCAAGTAGTTTCTAGAAAATTCGAGAAAGAAGGAAAGATCATGGACGTATCGGCGTACAATTACAGCTGTATCAAAGATACAGCCGCCTGCAATTTTTCATTTTATTGAAGAATCCTATTTTACTAAAGATGACAGAAACGTGAAGTTGTTTTATATCGAAATATCTCCAAACTGCCTGACCGCTAATCCTCAATTTTGATTGGTCAATGAGTCACGTGAAGTAGTCGCTGAATAAAATCCCCGGGATTTTCAAATTCTTCAGATTCCAAAAAAAATTTCCGCATCACATTTTTCATTTTTTCATGTGTGAAGTTTGTCTTTATATCAAAACATATCTAAATTTTCTGATTGTTGAGCATGCGAAAAAAAACAGTATTTCTAAATTTTTTTAACTCGCAGAGTATTCTGCACTTCCAAAATTTCAATTTTTTCATATTTATCATACGCAAAAATGATAAATTCTTGCTTCTCAGATTTTCATACATAAGTTCTAAACTCTACAAAATTCATGAAAATTCTTCGTTTTCCCAAATAATTCGAGAAAAATCTTTGAAGATTTACGGTTATCTAGAAAATTGTGAAATTTTCCGAAGAATTCAAGAACTTTTTTCAGTTTCCTAAGAAATCAATTTATAACCCTCCCCTCATTTTTCAACCATTACAGATTTCAATCAGATTATTTTAAACCGTAAAAAAAGGAATTAATCGAAGATTAAAAATTATTCATTGATGTTTCACTCTTCCTTCTCTTAATTCTCTTTAAGTCATGATCAACATTTATAAAACATCTATGAGTATATGAAGTTTAATAAATTCGATTTCTTCATTTTCACAACAAATAGATAAGTGCGCGCACAGATCTAGTAATGATAGAAAGCGGAATAAACCAAGATTATAACAAGAGTATCGACGGATAAATTGGATTTGAAAGCAGAATCAACAAATACATTAATACATCCGAAATCTTGTGTCTGTGAGTGGGTCATAGTCAATCAAAGAGTCACCTGGAAGAGTCTTCGTCACCTATCGTGCCGATTCATTAGCCCTCCCCATTTCCAATGAAGGCTCCCATAACAGACCTCCTTCCCTCTATTCTCCATACTGCACTATACCGTATTCGCAGTCCTATTAGAATATAGGAGTAACATAAGAAACCACAGGAAACCCATGCCGGTACAGGCGGTCACTCTATTAGCAACCTCCCGCTCGCCGGAGCCTCAGGTAAAAAAATTCGTTTAGACTTGGGATCGAACTCGCAACCTTCCGCACACTAGACGTGTTGAGAATTTGCATTTCCAACACGAAAATAAGATCAATCACATAAGCAATCTTGATTATTCATAAAAATTTGCAATGTCATATTTTTTTCGTAACGTCAATGTCAGATTTTTTTCGAAACTTGCTCAAAAAGTCAAAACTTCTGAGAGAAGGGCCGAGATGGAAATATTGATGCCATTGGTGAGATAGGATTAGAGGGCCGAGATGGAAATATTGATGCCATTGGTGAGATAGGATTAGAGGTCGTTATGTAGGGATTATGACAGACTGATACTGAAGACATTCAGGGGCTTTAAAAATTGCGGTTCCCACCTCGCATTTTCAAACATTCCTTAAAATCATTCATCCTCTTTAGATCACCCTCAACTCGCTTCATCCGGTTTCTACAAAATGAGCCATTTCTTGAAGCCATCTTTCACATTTTTCTGTCCATTCTAGGCTCAGAATTGTTAGCGCAAAATTTCCCCCCGCATTTCAGTAGTTTTTTTACTCCTAATTTCTTTCAGTACTCAACACCTTTGTCGCTTGGTACTACCAAAACATCGCAATGGTGATAAAAGCAGTCTTTGAATTGATGATAATTTACGTGCAATTATTCGTCTACTGTTACGCCGGCGAAAAGCTCACTAATCAACTAGAAAATTTGCGAGACGAGGTTTACAGTTCGCCCTGGTACACTCTACCAAAAAAATCCATGCAGGACGTGTGTTTCATCTTGAGGAGATTGAACGATCCCTTCTACCTGACCTGCGGTAAATTCTACCGGATGAACATGGACTATTTCAAGAATATCGTGAAGTTGACAGCCTCGTATTGCTCGGTGATAAGACTCATGTTTTACGATTGAATCACACTTTATAAATGTTCAACTACGTATAGTGGATATAGCACAGACGAACGAAGCATTTTGTAAAAAACCTGACGAAAAATCCGGAAATAAATTGATAATAAGTTTGCTACGTGTCAGCATTATTTGGGGGAAGGAGGGGTCAAAGAAAAAAAATAGCATCTGTACATGAAACTCCATCGAACCCATCATTATAGTCCCCTCTGTAATTTCTATCGCCCTCTTTTTCCCCGTAATTTTCTTCTTCTAATATTCTTTCATCTGCATGCAGTAACGTAATTACATTTGTCGTTTTAGCTTGAGCTTTATGTAGATATTAAGAGTGCGGGGTGGGTAAGACTCAGTTGATGTGCGCAGTGGCCTCTATTCCACACGGCATTCAAGTCTCCACCGCAAATTACAACTGTAACAACTCAAATCTAGATCGGTAACAAAAATTATGAACATTAACAAAATACCAGTTATCAAATGAATTTATATGTACATGTTATTATCTTTTCAATACAAAAAAACAAGAAAACAATTAAATTACGTATGGCAGAATGACCTGTTTGTGTTAAATACCTATTCTATAAATTAAGGGTGCCAAGTGAATTTGAAAAAAGATTCAAAAAAAATTTTTTCTTTCCCTCCATCATTGGAGAAATATGTATTCATCCATCCAACGAAATTTCAAACCCGCAACCGGAACTAGACATCGAGAAAATAAATGCGGAAAATCCTCTATTTCGCGTGACGAACCTCGAGAAAGCATGGGATCAAATGGGTACGGCGGGTTGAAATATCTCTCTTATTCACCCCGGTACCCCATTGTTTTTTGTCGCCATCACATTGAACACATAATTCCCCATATCTTCAAATTTTTTCAAATTTTTCTTGAGTTCCTAGGGGGTTGAAACGTTCAATTTAATCAAAACTCCATAAGAGGCCGTGTACAAGACTGATTTTGTTTATTTAATTTCTCGATATCCATAAGTTCTAAAATTTTAAAATTGTCACCGATGTTTACCATCTGTCTAATACTATTAATTTAAAAAATTATAACTTCGTTGGTGAATGTCAATTTTCAAGGTCATCGCCAAATTCACTTGGCACCCTTAATCCTGGACATTGACAAAATGATAGAACACCCTATCGTCGAATACATCTGTATATACAATGAAATTATTTCAAATTAATCACTTATTTCAGACTTTAGTAGTAGTCAACAGTTGAATATAATGCGCTTTATGAGTGATCTCAAACTCCTGCGCAGGCATGAAGCACTGAGTCTGAATCCTCGGTCCCCTGAATTTCTTCAACAAGCTCCTGCCAATGAAAAAAACCGTGACGAACACAAGACACGAGACGCCAGCAATCCCCAGAATGATCATCTCGGTGTTTTCCCGAAACGCCTGGACCTCAACACACCTAGATCTCTCCCCACCGATTTCCCCGGAAGTCTCATCCCCGAGAGGATCCAGCAGACTTGCGCAGACTTTGTACCTCCCCGGTACCAGTCCTGGCACTGTGACACTAGGTTGGCTGCAGTTCAACTTCTTTCGGTGGAGGAATGAATCCTCAGCGAAGATGACCACCGAGACTTCGCAGAGATTCTCCAGGTCGTTTTTCGTGGACAAGCTGACGTCAACAGTGAGAAAGCCCTCGTCGGAGATGTTAACGTGGACCCCAGTGATCCTCTCCTTGAGTGGCGCCACTGTCGTCGGAGTCGCCAGTGCCGCCTTCTGCCTCGTTATTTCCTCCCACTTGGGGCTGCTCTCCTCCAGGAACAAGAGATCACTGCAGCCGAGGCCCAAAGTCAACTCATCAGTGGCTGTCGACACGAAGAGAACGATGCAGTACCGATATTTGTGACCAATTTGCAGGTCCAGGGACGATGGAATGGCGACCGGTAGATGGCAGGGATCCCTCATGAGGCTTGACTCGCAGTGAAGAGGACTGGAGTCAATCTCGATCTCGGAGTCCCCCACCACTTCGTAGATGATCAGGTTGTCGCAGGTGTACCTCTCGGTGCACGACTCCACACGCCAGACGAGATTGACGCCTGTCCTTCTGTCGTAACGGAATTCCTTGAGGGTCACCTGGACCTGCGGTTGAGGGAGTTTCGTCATCATGGGAGGTGTTGGCTCGCCGCATAAAAGACTTCCTGGTGACACCTGTGTTAGGACGCCGTTCTCCAGGGCTGGGGGAGTCGCGCAGACCGCGGACGATCGGTCCTCCTCTTCGAGGGACGAATTGCTCAGCCAATTCGCGAACTCCAAGATGTTGCAGTCACAGTTGAGGGGGTTGTCGGACAGGGAGAAGCGTTTCAACTTGAGTTTGGAGGTGGGTATTTCAGAGTCCACCATTGTGATGTCGTTGTCGTCGAGCCGGAGGTCCTGGAGGTTGCGGAAGGGGATTATGAGGTCACTTGTGAGTGAGGGGAGAAAGTTGTGGGTCAGGTCTAGGGTGATTAGGTTGTCCAGATGGGCTAGGGATGCACTGGAGACGGCTACTATTTGATTGCTGGCAAGGTCCAGACGGGTCAGGGTGGAGAGGTGTCGGAAAGCGTGGTCCTCCAGAACATCGATCTGGGAAGAGGAATATTTCGGTAAATAGTAGTTAGCAGGGACATATGTATAAACATTAAGGGGGTACGTCAGGGAAATTTCAGTCTTCACTGGGCCTTGGGAACCATTGAACCGCTTGCGATATATGTAACGGAATATGGGAATAACTAGGGAAAATCGCGGACCCGATCGATTTTGCTTCATTTTTTCCTGGTTTTTACCTTCAAAATGCTGCTTGCGCCGTAAATTTCATACGATTTTAGTTTTTTTTTTAATGTTCGTTACACTCCAAAGAATAAAGTTAAGCATCCGTTTTACTTTATTCGCCATAGATCATGAATAAATGAATTTTGAATTTCATAAATTTTTTGCTTCTCTAAAGTAGAAGGAAAAGATGGCGGCGCCCCCACCTCACATTTTCAAACCTTCCTAAAAAATATTTCTCCTCCTCAGATTATCCTCAACTCGCCTTATCCGGTTCCTATGAAATGAACAAATGTTTTAAGTCATAAATAGTCCCAAATTGTTCACCTGATTATGACTTAAACTGAGATACGTCAAGTTCCTCAGTCCCCCAAGTGCTCCCTGTTTCACCGTTCCCAGTTCATTCTCGGAAAGCGTCAAAACCCTCAATCGTGGCATTGACGGTAGTAAATTGGGCCCCAAGGGACCAATGAGAAGATTTCTCGACAGATCAAGTTCCTCGAGATGCTTGAGACCGCGCAATGCCGAGAGTGCCGATACACTCAGTCGATTGCCCCTCATCTTCAATGAACGCAAGACCTTCAGCGGTACAAACGCTTGAGGAGACAATTGGGATAGTAAATTGTCACAGAGATCGAGATACGTGAGACTCGACTGGCCCTGAAAAAAAAAACCCAAGAATCATCAAGTATTTCGTTGATAAAAACTTGTCAACGTGTTTTCAATCAGAAGAATTAATCGTGGGAAGGGAATCTCAATTAATTCAACTCATTCCAGTCGTCAGTATTGAATTATGTATTGTGAAGTGACTGCAAGAGTAACTGGAATTGAAGGGAAGAGGTGGAAAAAATTCATGAACAGGAGAAATTAATAAGAAGTTTCAATCGATTCGAAAAATTTTATTGCTGTAAAAATAACTGGTAAGAAGCTGGCCCTCTTACTTTGAATGATTGCGACTCAAGGGTTTTTAATTTATTCCTGGACAGATCCAGTCTCTCCAGTCCCTGGAGATGCATCAGGGCAGCTGTTGGAATAGCTTCGAGAAGATTGTTGGGGAGTCCTAGGGCTTGCAGAGGTCTCACTAATGCGGTAAAGGCGTTCTCATTGACTCTTCGGAGCTCGCCGGTGGATATGACGAGTCCGTGGAGTGCAACGCCCTCTAGAAATCTCGATGGTAGCGTTGATATTCCCGTTACTGTGACATCCAGGAGAGAAATTATTCCTTCGCGGCTGCTTCTCAAATGATCACCTATTATCTGAAATGAAAAATATATAAAAATAATCTGAACATGTGTGGTATTGTTTATTAGATGCCATTGCTTTTACCTCCAATGCAGTTCTGTCTCCTGTGCAGCTGAGGGTGTGAGGAAAATCGCAGAAACACTCAACTCCAATTTGTGTGATGTTCGGACACTCCCAGGTGGTCTCGGTGACACTTCTGATGGCTGATGTGGGTGTCATCAAGGTCGCGGGTGTCTCTGAATCGCCGGGAGGTGGTGATGAGGTGTTTGATGTTCCGGTTTTTTTCGTTTTCGTCCGGACGTCATTTTGGGGCCTCTCAGGAGGGCCGGAGGTGGAAGAGGCGTCTTCCAGTGGATTTCCGGCGACAGGGCTGAGTGAAAATAGAGTTAGGGAGGCTAGGATTATCAGAAGTTGACATTTCCACGGCATCCTGGAATTAGAGATAAAATGGATTGATTTTTTTTTTGTCAAAAACGCAGAGGAAATCTCTGAAACTTGCACCGTGAATTATCGGTGAAAGGGAGGGGAAAATCAGGAAAGATGGCTTGAAACGTTTGTTCATTTTATAGAAACCGGATGCAGCGAGTTGAGGGTTCTTCGAAGGGGATAAATCATTTTAAGAAATATTTGAAAATACGAGGTGGGACGGCCGCCATCGTTAAAGCCCTTTCTGGAAGATGGAGGTATCTAAACAAGATGGCGGCACCAACACATGTAACCACCTCGTATTTTTAAACATTTCTTACAATTATTTATTTTCTTCAGATGAATTTAAATTTGTTTCCTCCAGTTCTTAGAAAAAGAGCAATTTTCATAAACTATTCTTCCGATTTTTTCATCCTCGCATTTAAGTCTTTTTTCTCACTCCCGAAGCCTCGAAATTCGTCGGACATCGTTCAACTTCAGAACGAGTATATTAACCTAAAAATGACTTGAAAAGAAGAAAAATTCAGGAATCAAAATTTCCAGTTTTACAATAAAAATGTCGTCATCCTACGATAAATTATGGCACTCAGCGCAGCACAGGGCAGGGGAATTGCTGGTGTTGGATGAAAACATCCATGCGGATCAGAGTCCAAAATCCAAACATGACGCGGTGAAGACAATTCTCCCCATTTACATAAAGTACTCGCCCAAAGTCTCAAATAATTCCTAGCAGCATTCACTCTTCTCTATTTCATCACAATCCTCATTCGCAGATACAGAAATCTAGTCCAAAAATTGGGACAACTGTACGATCAGATGATCCACAGTCAGAAGAGAGAGCTGATAAAGCGTCTCTTTGACTGCTCCGTGGGGCGGATGCTGGAGTACAGGAGAGAAATTGTCAAATTAACTTGTTCTGATTATCAGTGAGTAAACGACTTTAGTGATTATACAGATGAATAATGCATTGGGCGACTAAAAATTGATTCCAGGTGGCCCGATGATCTCCTAACAGAGCTGAAGTGGACCCCAGATGACATCCACATTCTGCCGATTTCCAGTTATACCGCAGATCGCAAAAACGAATTGGAGGAGCGGAAGAAGATTATTCAAGATCTCGTCGATAAATTGGATGCTCGTAAGGCTTGAATGCACGTTATTAATAATTATCGATGCACGGAGAGAAATGTTCAGTAAAAATTACGGTACTCATAATTCACTCGCCGATTACGGAATCGACTTAGAAAATTTAAGGAGATTCAGATAAAAATTACGGAACGCTCCGGAAAAATTTCGTGACAGTTCCGTAAAATTTCCTACAACCACATTTCGCTCCGGAATTGCGGAAAAGATATGTAATTTTTATTGAATATTTCTCTCCGTGTGATAAGTATTAATTAAAATAAAATATGCGCGTTATTAATAATTATCGATGATAATTATATCATATTTTATTTTTGGACTTAGACACGATTCTACATGAAATATCGAATACTAAATTTTTTAAAATTGTCTTCCCTTACCTCTACCGCACAAATACCTTTGATTTCAAGACAAATCCACAAATACATTGTGAAATCTACCCTTTTCAGTCCCCGGATTTTTTTCCCCGTGAAAAATCCCTCGGAAAAAAATCCCCGAAAAAAAATTGACAGGGAAAAATTTCCGGTAATTTTTCAAAGGGGCAAAATGTCGGGAGAAAAATCTATACAGGAAAAAAAAGTGAGTGGAAAAAATTCCAAGGGAAAAATTAACCGAGGAAAAACTGACGAAGAAAAATTTCCGGGAATTTTTGAATGGGTAAAAAACTCAGCTATTATTTCGAACGATAATAACCGACCGTCGATATGCCATCGGCCGCGGATAACTACCCCTTCGAATCCGAATTCATTCTGAGTCCACAGACGGCGCTGCGGCATAACGTCTTTCTCTCAAAATGACCCGCACAATAAAACTGTAAACATATCCACGTTAAAAAATGAATAAAAACCCCAATTCGTGATGATTTCATGATATTCAATAGCTGAACCCGAGCTAGACCCCGACGATCGCCTCCTGTCAACCGAATTCCCGAGTGCTCCTTCCTTGACCCGTGCCCCATCGATGGTTCGTCGCCGGAAATCATTGAAATCCATCATAACCCCTAACCTCCCCATCCCCAGGGAACCCGAGGAAGTCAGGATCGCCCGGGAGAGAGCCGATAACCTTAAAAAAGCCTTCTCCGAGGCCATTTCCCTGATCCAACGCCACGAGAGGGCACGGATGGGTCGAGTAGTTGGCGCCAACGTCCGAAGGGATCACGATTACCACAGAAAGCTGAAGTGCGGCGATATAGAATTGAAAAAATACAAAAGAGAAGTTAAAGAGAACGCCGCAACAACGATCCAGAGGACGTGGAGGGGTTTCTGGACACGGAAGCTCCTCGCAAAACGCAGGGAGAAGGCGGAAATGTCGATGGGTATGATCATCCCAAGTCGAAAAGATAGGACAGTCTTCGAAGAGGATCTGAGGAATCGATCGAGGATCCAAGAACTCCAGCAGCAGTTCAGGACTGCAGTGCAAGAGACAATTTCCCGAGAGAGGGCTAAAAATTTTGAGGCTAGACGTCTCGACGTCATGGACGACATATCCGAGGAGATACGAGCGTGGTTTCAAGAGTGGCTGGCTGCTGTCGGCCATTTTGATATCTATCCACCTGAACAAAATGGCGGATCGGTGATGATCGTCACGGGACAAACTTTGACGCCTGAGGAATTTCTCATCAAAAAATTGGAGGAGAAAAATAAAGCTGAAGGGGGAAAAAAGGGGAAGGATAAGAAGGAAGAGAAGAAAGGAAAGGATAAGAAAAAATTGGGAAAGGATAAGGATAAGGAAGAGAAAGGATGGACTCCGCCGGAGTCCAAGGTCCTCCAGACGATTGTTGATGTTAAAAAAGAATTCCTCACGAATTGGAGTTTGCGGGATGAGAATTTGAGTCAGACCGTGAACACTGATATCATCAAGGAAGAAATATTCTACGAACTTCAGTTGGAAGCGAGGAAAGCTGTGGATGAACTGATGAGACTCGAATTGGATCGGATGAATGATGCCTTGATCAAGGATCACAAGAACGACGATCCGAAGTTTCAGTTCCCAGGGATGAAGAAAGGTTCTTCCTAACCTCAAAACTCGTAAACTCGTATTTTCCGTAAAAATATTTTGATCTAGCTCTCGTCCGATTACAGGCAAGAAGAAGAAGAAAAAAGGGAAGAAGGGGAAGAAGAAGAAGAAAGGAGAAGAGGTGGTGAACAAGAACGAAGTAGAAGAGGTGTTTCGGGAATTAGTCTCTTCTAGAATAATTCAAAATTATCCGGAAGCGAGGTTGTGCGATTGGTTAGGGGATCTGTCGTATCAGAATTTCGAAGCTCAGAGGGATCGGAAGGATTACAAGCACAAGTTGGGGGAGATAAGGAGTCTGATTATGGAGACTTGTGTTCTTCCGTTGGGGTCCAAGGAAGCTCACACTATGGCACCGTCATTTCGGTAATTCTTTGAATTTAATCCATTGCTTCGCGTACGTCGCAGATCGTTCCGGTGTGAGGCGGGTGGGGGTAATGATCGGGGATTTTTAATTCGACTTGATTCCGAGTCAAAAATTCTCAAGGATCAAAAGTTGTGAAAAACGAAAAATTATTGAGAGTCAAAATGTTGAAAAAGTTGAAAAATGGTGAAAAAAAGTTTGTGGAGACAGAAAACGTTGACAAAGTTGGAAAAGATGAAAAAGTTGAAAATATCGAAAAAGTTGAAAATGTTGACAAGGTTGAGAATGTTGAAAAAGTCGGAAAGGTTGAAAAGGTTGAAGAGGTTGCAAAAGTTGAAAAAAGCGGGTGGGTGTAATGGCGGCGCGTGCATCCGCTGGCGAGTGGGGACGCACCACGCGAAGCAGTGGGTTAACAGAGGCATCCTCACGCAAAATGCGAATTCCACTCTATTGAAATATTGTCCAAGTGGTGTCAACCCATCAAAAAATAGTATATTTCGATACGAGTGAGACAGAATTTTCACGAGTGTGAAGTTGGCGGCCCGAGGCGAAGCCGAGGGCTGCCAATCTCACGAGCTGAAAATTCCTGTCTCACATGTGTCGAACAATAGTTTTCATCACGCTGTGACGAAAAATGAACTTTTCGGCACGCTCCGCGTGCCTAAAAGTCCAATTTCCGCCACATTGTGATGAAAAATATTGTTCGTAACTCGTGAAAAAATGTTTTTTAGCTCGTGGGATTATATCACTTGCCTTCGACTCATGATATAAACCTCCCACTCGCCAAAAAACACTTTTTTGCACTCGTTACGAAGTATACTATTTTGACAGTGATGTTACGTTGAGCGAGTGGCGAACTGTGCCTTTTTTCGTTTACTAGTAAAGGAAAGGACTTTTCGTTTACGAGTAAACGAAAAGGCACTTTTCGACACGAGGTGAACGTAGCAGCAGTGTCAAAATAGTATATTTCGTAACGAGCTAAAAAACATTTTTTCACGAGTTACGAACAATATTTGTTATCACACTGTGACGAAAAGTGAACTTTTCGGCACGCTCCGCCGAAAATATTGTTCGTAACTCGTGAAAAAATGTTTTTTGCACTCGTTACGAAATATACTATTTCATCACAATGTGGCGGAAATTGGACTTTTAGGCACGCGGAGCGTGCCGAAAAGTTCACTTTTCGTCACAGCGTGATGAAAATATACTTTTCAGATCAGTATGTATAGCTGGCCTCCCACGAACCGGGAAGACATTTCTGGCTCACGCTATTGCCAACGAGATTGGGGCTCTCTTATTCGACTTGACCCCGAGTGTTCTAGCAGGACAATATGAAGGCAAGGAGAATGAAAAGAGACTTATGAAGATGATAAATACAGTCGCTAAGAACTACCCACCTTCCATTGTCCTCATAGACGGAGGCGAGAAGCCGTGGTTGAAAAAAATACCACCGGAAGAGAGAGAGAATCAACCCAAGCGGCTCGCTAAACTACTTCCTAAATTCATAAAGGGCATCAAGCCCGGTGACCAGGTAAGTAATCCAAAATATCACCATATCAATTTTTGTCATCATTTTTAAATTCTTCAATACAACATGGGTGTAAATAGAGAGATAACCGATGTGAAAAAGAAAACTTGTCTCAAACCCGTACGTCCCACGCAGTTTATGGCGTCGCTAACCTGTTGGTGCCGCAAGCGGCCTTGGATTTAATTCCGCACGCGTGCGCCAATGCGACTAATCAAATATCGAATGTGTCAAAATGATTATTAATTGTCGAATTAATGGAGAGGAGCGTTGATAAATTTCTCCGATGTATCTTCCATTGTTCCGCGGATCTCTTCCGCAAGGGAATGAATTAAATTTTCAATTTTCATTTTGCCAGACAGCAAGACCAATTATTGCATAACCGCATGAATTCAAATCATGAATTATTTATCTTTATGCATTTTTTCGATGAAAGTGTCTCATTGCAGACTCTCGTGTTGGGACTGGCATCGGAGCCTTGGAAAGCAACTAAAAAATTCTACAAGATATATGAAACTTTCATCACAATTCCTGTCTCCGATTACAACTCCGTCTATCTGTTTTATCAAGATATCTTGATGAAATATCATTATGTCAGCAGACATTTTGATGTTTCGGCGCTGGCTAAAGCTTCTGTGGGCTATTCTCTCGATGTCATTCGTGAGGCTGTGGAGAATGTCCTGAATTTGAGAAGACGAATGAGACTGAAGTTCGAACCGTTGAAACCAGAAGAAATTTTGAAGGAGTTGCAGAGGAATCCGAGTATTCCACCGAAAATCGTTGATGACTTTGCGAAGTTCCAGACGAAAACTCCACTTGGGAGGAAATGGGTGAAGATGATGAGGCAGGAGAGGGAGGCGATTGATTATCCGCCGGGGAAGAAGAAATAATTTTCGAGGTATGTTTATGGCAGTTGATTTAACTAATGGTCATTACACGATTTTTTGGATTTACCGGGTTGTAGGGCAGTATTTTTAAATGAATAGTATTTTTTGAGGTGCCATCTTCCGCGTGAGCCTTAAGGCCCGAACGGAAAGAGAATAAAAAAACGAAGAGTTGCCCAATGCGCATTTAAACGTGTATTTAACAAAAATAAAATTCTATTTTACGTCCACGTATGTTGACTTTTTTGGGTCTTAAGGCCCCAAAAATGAAATAAAAATAATCGCAGAAGCTGTGAATGTCTAGTTAACACATTTAACATATTTAACAAGTGAATGCGTAACATTCAACTTGAGGCCCATAAATGGTAAAAAATTGGGCCGCAAGGCCCCGACTGAAAGATGGGAAATACTAAAAATGACAGTCGAATACGAAGTGAGCTTTGTTTGTTGCAACGTGAATATTGGGCCGTAAGGCCTAAGCCAAAATGAACTCAAGAGATTACGAGAAGTTGTAAAAAGAAATTTAGGGAAGAAGAGAAGCTATAAAAAGGAATTTAATTTTGGGCTTTCAACGTCAAAAAACGTTTACATCCGTGAAAGTTAGAATTTCGAGCCAGGTCTCCGACAGAAAAAAAATATCTGTGGAAAAACGGTGAAATATGACTTCAGATTCGTGTTTTACAATACAGGGTATGGAATTCAACTTGATATTCGCGAATCGAAAATTTTGGGCCATAGGGCCCACATAAAAAAATCAATCGCCAGCGAAATGTTCTAAAATAGAAATTTGGATTCGTATTCGACAACATAAGGAGTGAGAAACAAGTTTACGATCCTGAATACGAAAAAATTGGGCCTTAAGGCCCAAATAAAAAATAAGCCATTGCTCTAAAATATAAATCTCCATTTGTATTTCACAACATAGGAGGTAAAAATCAGCATTCCGTCCCTGAATGTAAAAATTTTGGGCCTTAGGGCCCAAAAACAAAATTCTGCTTTCAATTCGGTACCCACTCTGCCACAACATAGGAAATTAAAATTAGCATGTCGTCCGTGAATGTAAAAATTTGGGGCTTAGCGCCCAAATAAAAAATATGAACCTCTGCTCTAAAATGGAAGTCTCCATTTGCACCTTACAACATAAATAAAAATCAGCATTCCGTCCGTGAATGGACAATTTTGGGCCTCAGGGCCCAACCAAAAAAATTCAATTCCCCTCTCAATTCACAATCCACTCCCTTGCAACAAATAAGTAAAAATCAGCATGTCGTCCGTGAGCGTAAAAAGTTGGGCCTTAAGGCCCAAATAAAAAATATGAACGGTTGCTCTAAAATAGAAGTCTCCATTTGCACCTCACACCATAAGAAGTAAAAATCAGCATTCCGTCCGTGAATGGACAATTTTGGGCCTCAGGGCCCAACCAAAAAAAAACAAAATTCTCTTCTCAATTCGGTATCCACCCATGTTATGGAAATAATAACAACATTTCTCGAATTCCCTTTCAAAATTTTCATTAAAAAATGGCGATCGTTAAAAAAGCACCATTCCGTCTGCAGATGTACAATGATCATGCCCAAGACGAGTTACTATATTAGTCCTGCGTCCACACTTGAGCAAGTTTTTGAGCGACTTACCCGTAAGAACTAAGAACCTCCCCTCCCCTTGCACCCCACCCCCACTCCTTACCTCTACACACGCGTTAGTCGCGTGCACCAACACACGACACTATTCTCCACAGAAGATCTCCCCAGTTTATCTCTCTCCGCTTGTCCACTCGGTCCTCACCTCTTCCTTTTGTCTTCCTCCTCCGTATTTATTTATTCTTTTATCTAAAAAAACTCTGAAGTTGGTGCATGCACTTCACCTCGAATCACTGTAACAGCTCCCACGCCAGTACTTCTTCACTCTAACGATTGATAGCATCGCGAGAATTTTCTTAGCATGAGCTTACATTGGCCACCCACGTGTTTAATATTTCAACTTCAATTCATCATTCAATTCAATAAAAAAATGAATTATATTGAGAAGAATAAACTTCACTTTTCACTGAGATTACATTTTTCATTAGCAAAAATCCATGTCAGTCCCTATGAATAACAAAAATAAACATTCAAAAAGGGAAAATTTATAAAAAAAATTATTTCACTTGAACAAAAAATTTCTGAATAGAAATGATCAAAATTTCATTCATTAACCAACGAAACAATATTTCAACACTGATGAATAAACGATTAAATCCAATTAGTAGATCGCGATATCGTCGAATGGATGAAGGAAGAAAGGTGGAACGTAACTAAAACCCATCGACGACAGAATGGGGCACTGGTGTCTCCCCTCCACCCTTTGAATTTCATCTCTCTTCGTTCACCCATTCCTGTTCAGGTTGTGCGTTAATAGTGGAAAAGAAGTCGAAGAGAGGGATATAACAGTCTTCAGTGTTCATGTGTTTTGTACGTTTGTACTGCTTCAACGTGGGTTGATGATAATATTCTGTCTTTGTCGTGTGTCCCCACGTCGTCTTTATCCACATAGCATAGCCATGTATGGAACCCAACCGATGCCATGGGTGTACGTTCTCTTCCACGGCCCTTAACGCCCACTTGCACTCTTGACTCTGTACGCAACGCGCAAACCCCTCGGATACTAACACAATAACATTTGGATTTATACATTCGTTATGAGCATCAAGTCCCACGAAATCTTCTTCGTTGCTTTTCACTCGCGGGTTATTTGTTTGAGGAGGATGCGGGCATCATTTCAATTCGTGGGAACCCGAGATGTCTGTTTTTTGGGGATGGGTTTGCATGGGTGGAGATGTATACATGGTGTAGGATGTGTGGAATTTTATTTCGTGAGGAAATTGACTACTGAAATGCGGGGAAATCTTTGTGCTGTGAATTGTCAGCCAAAAGGGGATTGAAAAATATGAGGGATGGCTTAAAAAATTTGTTCACTTTGTGGAAACTGGAGGAAGCGAGTTAAAGGTGATCCGAGGGAGATAAATAATTTTAAGAAATGTTTGAAAATGCGAGGTGGGGGCGCCACCATCTTGCGGCAGAGGGAGGAGTATCCAAGCAAGATGGCGGCGCCCATACCTATCAACCACATCGTATTTTTGAACATCTATTAAATTTATTTATTCTCTTCAAATCACTTTAACTCGTTTTGAGCAGTCTCTCACATTTTTGAGGTTATTGGTTTGAGGAGGATATAGGCATCATTTCAATTCGTGGGAACCCGAGATGTCTGTTTTTTGGGGATGGGTTTGCATGGGTGGAGATGTATACATGGTGTAGGATGTGTGGAATTTTATTTTGTGAGGAAATTGACTACTGAAATGCGGGGAAATCTTTGCGCTGTGAATTGTCAGCCAAAAGGGGATTGAAAAATCTGAGGGATGGCTTAAAATTTTTTTTCACTTTGTGGAAACTGGAGGAAGCGAGTTGAAGGTGATCCGAGGGAAATAAATCATTTTAAGAGATGTTCTAAAATGCGAGGTGGGGGCGCCGCCATCTTTGGAGCCCCTTGTGGCAGAGGGAAGAGTATCCAAGTAAGAGAACGGCCACTACCGGTGGACCACCTTGTATTTTGAAATATCTCTTAAAATTATTTATCCTCCTCAAATCACTTTCAACTCGTTTCATCCAGCTTCTAGACAATGAATGAATTTTTCAAGCTATGTCAGTAATTTCGTTTCTTCCGATACGTTTTGACGTAGAATTTTGACATGATTTAACATGAATTATTGAACACAAAAATAAAAAAAATCCGGATATTATCTGAAATTTGAATATTGACCAGTTGTTTGTTTCGGCTATTCTTTGAAGAGTAATGTAAAACCCACTAGTAGCGTCCATCGAGAATTGTGAGAACGGAGGAGGATGAGCCGTTAATGCGCGGGAAGAGGTGGAGTTGACAAGCGAAGAAACGCAGACATTTTCGCCCACGTGAGGTTTATAAAATGCATGAAATTTTATATTAAAATTTCCCAGTTTCTTTTGAGTATTTATTAACCACAATGGAGTGACTATTCGTTTCAATATGATTCAGCATAACCTATCGAACACAAAAATACAAGAAATTCATAAATATCCCATTTTTCTCCAATTTTTTTTGTGCAAGATAGAGTCCCCAGAAAAACTTCAAACTCAAATATTCAACTGAACAAAGAACCTGTAATCCACCAGTTATTCACCACAAACATGAACTACTATGATTTGAACCTAGCACCTATTCCACACGGACATCAATGTCGATCATATATCAAATGCTTACAGTCCATAATACGTGGGAGACGAGGGATAAATGAATGAAAAGCAGAAAGGAGTGGATTAAAAGGAGAAAAAATACCGTGAATGAAAGGTCCACTAAATGTCCCCCTCCATAACAACTCCTCTTATTTTCCGCAAGGAGTATCCGACTAGCGGTTCTTCCAGTTGTGACACTATTTCCACGGATGATCAAGATCTCAAGTTACCTTTATGACGAGAACTCACGCCCATTACACGGTAGCCGCTCATTAATTATTTCAATCTCCCTATCTGGCCTCGACTCCTCATTTTCTTCAATCTCTAATCAATTTTATCGGATTGAATTACGGAAAAGCCCGACCAATGACATTTTTTCTCTCAAGGGGGAGGGGATGTCCTGGCAATATGGTGGTGCTCACACCTGTCAACCACCTCGCATTTTTAAACGTGTCTCGAAATTATTTGTCCTCTTCAGGTCACTTTAGACTCGCTTCATCCGGTTTCTGTAAAATGAACGAATTTTTTGAGACGTCTTTCAGAGTTTTCCATTCTTTTTTGGCATTTCATACATAGGATGTCCCACGATCAAGCCTTTTCCTTCGAGGGTATTGAAGAGGGTGCGTTGTGAAGTGAAAAGTTCCCTTTCCCCTTTTTTTGGTTTGACCTTTTTTTCTTTTGGGCTGCTACTACTGATTTCAGGGGTAAATATTCATTTTTTTACAATTGTTCAAAAATGTTCTTTTCGTTTTTTTTCTTTTCAGTACATTTGATGCGCACATATGCAACCGTCTATGGCCGCCTTCCCCTTCTTGCCTTATCGCGCCCACAATCTTTTCCGAAAAAGCGGAAAAAAGTGCTCAGATGCAAAAGTGAAAGGGGAATTTTCCTTTTCAAAAAACACCCTCTTCAATACCCTCGAAGGAAAGGGATCGGCCGTGGGACATCCTGTCTATTCGTTCTTGTGTAATAAAAATCTGTCAGTTCTTTTTGCTCCGCGAAGAAATTGTTTAGGAGGTTATGACTTTGGCTATTACTTAGTTGGTGCACTGGCAGGAAAAATTAATTTTATCAAGTGAATTTCATTCGAACCAACAATCATTTGGTTGTTAATTTTCAAATAAACATGATTTCATAGTGAATACCAGTTATCTCTTCTTGAGATACATTTGATTGGGAGAAATCGAACTTCTCTAGAATTGAAGTTCCTTTTATTTGTCGCAATAATGAGAGTATTTGATCTCATTCTAGCTAAAAGTTCGCCAACTCCAAAAATTCGGTGGTTTATTCGAAAATGAAAATTTTTCTCATGACTAAATACGTTGTTTTTTTAATCAACACGATCATACGTTCTTCCAAGTAAATTATAATTGAAGTGAGCATTTCGTATGTCGAATCAGGATGAATATTGTTACGCGGAAAAAGCTGTGAGATTGTAGTACGATGTCGTTGAGTTGAAAGAAGTTTATATTTCGTGACTAAAAAAAATCGCATTAGTTTACAATAACAGAATCACAGATATTGGATTATGGGGTTTAAAATAACAAACACCTTTTGTCTATGTGAACATTTTAATTGAAAAATCTCAAAGACTCTACACAGTCAAGAGGCACTTCACAGTATGAATACCTACGAGAGACTAAAAGATAGTTGCTAATAAGGCCCAGGGTTAATATAGACCTAGGAGGGCAATATAATTTCCATCCCCTGAAGCAACGCTCGGTCTTTCCTTCTTGACCCCGTCTGATCGCCAGGTGTACTTACGGGAAAAACCTACCTTTGGAAAAAACCCATCAGGAAAAATCCCGAAAGGACTTTTCCCATTTTACAATCTCAAGGAGGACCCCACAGCAATATGAAGCAATAAACCTTTTCTTAACATAAAATAACTTGGGAGAGTGAATTTTGGTCTCGGGGAAATCCCGGAAATCCAACAACAGATTACGGCAATTCAACACAAACTTGGATATCACAAATTTCGTTCAATGTGATGTACGGAAAGCTCAATTTAAACATCGGCTTCATTGGAAAAAACAACAGTCTATTCATTCCTCAATTTAATCATCTCCTAGGTACGAATTTTAAATCAGTTTATGAAAGTAGAAAATTTCTCGACTGGAGATTATATTAGGTTAAAAAAAGTAGAAATTTTCCATTTTTGTGGTGAATACATGTGACTTGAGGCCAAGAACTGTTTTATTTGATTCAAGTAAATGTATCTCAAGAAGAAATAATTGATATTCACCGTAAGATCTTATTTATTCGGAATTAGTCCCAGTATATAATGCTTGTTCCAAGAAAGAAACATCTCAATAAAAATAATTTTGTCTATCAGTGCGTGGGATTTCGTTTTGTGATTTTTATTGTATGCATTTAATTTTTCCAGAGCCTAAGGAAGCTGGATTATATCAGCGAATATCAGTTGTTCTCATTACACTCAAAATTCCCGTGATCCATCATTGAGCTAATTGATTAACTATGAAGTTGAACATTTTTTATGCGTTAATATATTATGTACTAGAAATGAATTCTCCTTCAGTTTTATCATTTCGAAAATTCCATCAAACTTTCATCTCGGTATGAATGGATAAAAATCCTATGTGTTAGAGAATCGCCGTCAATGTATTGAGTACAGCAGCTGGAAGTCGCCCCAGAGTCCGTTACGAAATAATATTGCCTATATAAATCCATGAAACCGGGTCCACACGCCCACGCGCGTGCCTACCCCCACCATCTGGCTCGTTTGAGGCCCCGAATGAAAGTCCGAGTGTCATTTTAGGCTGTCATAAAACTCCAACTGGGAAGTTGAGCTGAGTGACCTCGAAAGATGCATCATCATTTTTTTTTCTTCTCGCCTTCTCATGCGAGAGAATTTCCATTTTCTCGTGCGAATGGCACAATGGGGGGGGGGGGGGCATTTCGTGGTCGTTGTGTGGACTCAATGAGGACTTTCAGAGGAGAATTAACCTGTTGATACTCTATCATGAGTACTTTTCCGGTTTTACTGTCACACGGGTGATATAAGGGAGTACATTGAGGCTGCAAACTAGCTTCATGGCCTACAATAATGAGATTCAATGGAAAGACAAGTAAAACCGTGTGCATATAGTGTAGTTTTTATTTCATGGGTTGATACCTGTTTTCACTATTTGCTATGAAGTTTTATGATATGAACAGATGCCACAGAATTTCGCAGAAAAACCTGGCGAATTTGATTGATAATTATATTCTATTAAGATTCGACTAAGAAATTACGAAGCTATATAGTGCGCGTTTTTTCGTAGATGAATGTGCGGGTAGAGATGCAAAATGACCGTCATTTTTTTAGAACGCGTCATATGACCAAAAAATGACGGTCTTGTAACGGTCATGTGACGCACAAATTTTCCAACTACAAATGATTTGTGACAAACCAAATTGTTGTCAAACCATCTATATAGTTGCATAATGACGGTAATAACTAATTTTCAATTTTTTACTTTTACTCGTGTGGTTGGCCAGTCCTCCGGCGTTGGTCTCCGAGCCGTAGGCGAGGGACTGGCCAACCACACGAGTCAAAAAACCCCATCGCAACAGCCCAGGAACAATATTTTTCTGTAGTGATTTTCAAGTTTCCGAGTTTGGGAAGTATGTAATACCAATTTCCAGACGAGAAATCGTCAGAAGCAGTACAGAAATAGTACATTATGTCATCAGGCGGTAAAAGTATTATCTGGCGAATGTGGCTTTATAATGCGAGCCGAAGGCGAGGCCTATAAAGCCACATTCGCCAGATAATGCTTTTATCGCCGTGTGGCATACGATATTTTATGTCGTTGGGGCCAAAAATCGCGGTTTATCGGGCCTAAGGACATAAATACTTTTACTGCTGTGTGGCATACGATATTTGATGCTTCGAGGACTGAAAAACGCGATTTAACCGAGCGAAGCCCGGTTAGAATCGCGGTTTTCCGTCCCTAGAGGCATAAATCTATGAACAATAACTTGATCAGACAAACAAAATTGGAAACCGGAATACTGTAGTTTCAATTTAGTAGCGAAGCGGTAAACCGGGTCAAGTCGATTTTGACGATTGCCCAGTTTTTGACGAATATCTCGGAATCTAAAAGAGATAGAACAATTCCTGCCATGACCTTTTTTGTAGGGTCAATTGAGGGTTATAAAAAAGGTCATGAGAAAAATTTTGCTATCTCTTTTAGATTCCGAGATATTAATCAAAAACCGACCATAAGTCAAAATCGACTTGACCCGTTTTACCGCTTCGCTACTGAATTAGATACCGGTTTCATAATTTTCCATTCATTAAAAATAATCAAATTAGAATCGCATTGAGCACGCACTATGTTTATTAACAGAAGGGCCCCGTCCGTGAGGGGTTAACCTCGCTTCGCTCGGTTAGATCGCGGTTCTTGGGATCAGGGATATAAAATATTGTATGTCACACGGCGATAAAAGTATTATGTAACTACTTTTATCACCTGATGACATAATCTATTACTTCGTCACTGCTGCTACGTTCACCTCCTGCCGAAAAGTGCCATTTAATTTACTCGTTAACGACAAGTCTTTTCGTTTACTTGTAAACAAAAAAGGCACAATTCGCCACTCGTTAAGCGTAACATTTCTGTCAAAAAATATTGTTCATTAAGAAAAAATAATCTGACAAAAAAATCTTGAGAATTTGAAATCTCTACCTTTTCTGTTTTACCATCAGTCGTGGAGTCATCAGGATTCCGATTGAGAGCACGAAATTCTTCACATTACTCCCTCTCTCCACCAATTCACATTGTTCACGGACACTTTACGCGCATTTTTCCCCACTTCCCTCCGAGACATAGGCAATAGGTAAACAATCTTTGAGTGTCATTTCATAAAATCCTCTATTTCCCCAATTTCTCAATGTTTTTTTCAGTCCATGTGTAAAAAAAAGTTTTTTGCCGCTGAATGTGGAATCATCAAGACTGTGTCGAACATTTATGTGATTTTTTTCACTTCCTGACTCACTGATGTGACTCATCTATTGCGTTGGAGGATCTCTGATTTTTTTTATTACTGAAGTACATTCTTCAGGTGTGAGAATGTACCAGAGGAGTTTGGATTTTTATTTTAGACAAACTAAAAGTTCAGGGAACAGTGATGTGAAACCGAAGGTTGAGGTTACACCCACCCCGAGGAGAATTGTCTCTGTCGCCTCGAGAAAGGTTTGTTTTATTTTTTATTGAGGCCATTTTATTTTTATCTCAATTTTTTTTTTCGCTAATGAAAAATTTTCAATAACAAAAATCGTAAGCTGTTTGTCCTCTATTAAACACCCTTTCTTAGATGAGTTATGAACTTGGGGCGGAGCGAAGGGCGTCATGGAATAATTAAAAGACCCATTTTGCCCCACACAATAACCAAACATTTGTTATTTTTATTATTTCGATAGGAAAAAAAATTTTCTTATTTTTCTTACATAAAAATAAAAAGTAGAAAAACCACTGAGACTAAAAAATCTTTTGAATTTGTTAGAAAATTATATTTTATTTTTATTGAACTTTCTATTAGGTCTTGACTCATGCTACTAAAAAATTCCGCAGAATATTTGCGCATTCTTTGAATAGAAATCCAAAATTAATTTACAATTGTACTTAAATTTTTCTTTTCTTTCGTTTCTCACAGGAAAAATCTTTTCAAACAGCGTTATGAATCCTAAAATTTACATTGATGAAATCACAAACAATTTTGTTTGACTTTGTTTCGAACTCCCAAGGAGCTTTTCATAAAGGGAATATTTATTTCAGAAACAATTTTTATAAAAACCAAATTAAAACAAACTAGTCACGCTATTGTTGCATCTATTTCGTAGTGTATTTATTGAAAGTTATATTTCGACGAATTTCCACCAAAATATAAATAAGTAATTAAAAATAAAAAAAAAATTTTTAAAATCTTAATCGTCTATAAGGTATAAAGTGGTTTTGAATAGAAACCTTCAATGAAAAATATTCTGAAAAAACAACTCTTCTTTCTATACAACAACTCTTCTTTTCTATATGATTTATTCCATTGACATATGTTATACGGAAATTCCTCGGCTGAAATTTTCGGCTGAAGTTTTTTTATTAAATTTCCTCGGCTGAAGTTTTTTGATTAAATTTTATAATGAAGAGAAAAATAGAGTCGGAAACTTGAGAAAATTCACGTCGACGAATTCCTACAGAAAAAGGCTTAATGCAGAAACTTTTATAGAAATTTGAATTCCAACTGATTTTTCCCATAAAATAGTCTCTATTGGAAATTTTCTGTAAAAAAGGCATTGAAGCTGCCTAATTTTTCAATAGAATCGGCCAAAACTAATAGAATCTTCTATTGATTAGGTTTTTCTATGAAATCTCACCAATAACTCCTTTAATTTTTTTCCTCTCAGGCACCAGGAACATCCTAAAAAAACCATTCCAATAAAGCCCATATTCTCAAGAAATTTCTTATTTTTTCTGCATAAACATAAAATGTTGCAAAACCTTTGAGAAAATTCTACTGCATTTCTATTGAAAATTCTATTAGATTTTGACTGATACTACAAAATAATTCCGCAGTATTCGTGCGTATTCTTTACACAGATTTCAATGGAAAATATTCGGAAGTAATACCACTAGTGCTTCCAAATAATCGGATATTTTCCAATAGCTTCGTTGCTTAGGAACGATTGTGTCAAAATTTGCAGGTTTAATTTTTTCTGCAAAATTTGACACACTCCATTTATACATAGGATACATTTACACAGTCATACATTTACGAACCACTTTTTTGTTTATCTGTCACACAGAATATTAAACGTGAAATGCGTTGAACGATGAGAAACATTTGAAAAGTTACTAGTGAATTTCCGTCGGAAATTTTTTAGAAATTTCCGAAATAAAACTGTTTGGCACCCTCAAATACTGCACTCTGACTGGCTGAAATCCGAGTGAGAAAAATAATCTATGAAAAAGCAACAGAATTCTACTTTTTTATGCAACTTATTCTATTGAGATATTTTCTACAGAAATTCATCACCTGAAATTTTTCAAGTTATTTTGTTCAAATTTTCAAATGAAGAGAAGAGAAAGACAGAAATAGAGAAACTTGAAAGAAGAGATCGCGAAACTTGTATAGAAATCTGAATTCCAACTAATTGTTCTCACGAAATAGTTTCTATTGCAAATTTTTTATTAAAAAAAGCATCAAAGCTACGTAATTTTTCAACAGAATCGGCCAAAACTAATAGCATTTTCTGTTGACGAGGTTTTCCTATGAAATCTCATCAGTAACTCCTTTGATTTTTTCCCCTCAGGAACCAGGAAAACCCTCAGAGACTACTCCAATGAAGCCCATATTCTCTCAAATCACCCCAATGAAGTTGAATCATCCAAAAGACTGCATCGTAATCCTAGACAATTCAAACGAGGATCCGCCCCTAGTTGCTCCCGCGACCCCCTCCCAGGAGCCATCCACCTCATCCAACCCCTCAAGACCCCCCAGAAGTTCCTCAAAAAGCACTGAAACTCCCAAAAAAATTTCAAAAACCCCCAAACCCTCCAGACCCCTCAGCACCCTCCGACCCGCCCTCTCCCAATGCCCAAAATACTTCATCTCCCTCGACGATTCCGACGAAGATGAGCCATCCTCCATCCTCGCAACCCCCCAAAAACCCGCGGAGAAATCCCTGGCCGCCAAGCACCCCTCCCCGAAGCGTGCCTTAAACTTTACCTCCTGCCACAGCCCCTCAAAACGCCAGAGGATCAACGAAATAATGTCCCAACAACTGACAAAAGAGAACACCTTCCAAGGATACGCCTTGACAACCACCACTAGCATCATGGAGAGCCTAAACCCCTCCCAGGTGCTGACCCTTGAGGTCGCCAAGGAGATGAGTTTCTCTAATAAGTCGGAAAGCGTCATAAAAGAGCAGCTGATGCTGTCTGAGGACGAGTGGGACCCTGACGAAGTGGAGAGCTCAGCCCAGCCTCTACTGTCTCCAACAGCTCCAGCAAAATCTCCACCAAAGACTTACCTCAGGATTCTTCCCCCTGAAACGATTAACAGAAAGTTTGACTCGCACCAAAACACCCAGAAGAATTCTCAGGAGATCGATGATCAGATGGCCAGAAAGACTGACAAGAAGCTCCACAAGGTGATGGAGAGTGAAGAGAACATTGGAATTGATGGTCTGGGGGACTTGGAGACAGCTGTCTCCATGAGCTGTCCTCAGACCCCTAGAAAAGGGTTGAATCCAACAGCTTTGAGAACACCTGAGAGAAGTCTGAAGATGGGCCTATCCGCCCAAAAGGATAGAGCCTCTCAGAGTCTTTTGAAGAACTTGGGGACTCCTTCCAAGAGGTCTCCCTCGACCTTCTCACCGACTAAAATGTCCCCGACCAAGAGGCACTACCGCCCCAGGAAGATTTTCAAAGAGAGCCCCAACCTTCAGACTGTTGTTGAGCATCTGAATCTAGCTAGGCAGGGAGCAATTCCTATGAATGAGTTTGATCTGGAGGAGATTTACAGAAAGGGAGAATTCAAGTTCCAGTGGTGGAGGATAGACACGAGTGCTGCAGAGCAGTACGACTTGAATGATGTTGTCGTTCCGACGAATAAGCACTCTGAGAGACTGCTGGAGATGATCTCCTGGGTTTTCTCTGAACCAGCGAATTGCGGGTATTTTGACGAGGGGGAGAGGGACTTGGTCTTCAGGATGATGAGTTTGGGGCAAGAGGAACAGGCGCTGCTGGCCATCATGCTGAAGAGGGAGATCAGGTGGTTCAGGGTGAAAAAGCAGAAGTATGAGAAACACTTTGATGGGAATATGGAGAATTCGTTGATGAGACTGGCTGAGAAGGGGTTCTTTGATAGCGGTGAGTGAACTTTTTATTCAGAATTTCGGTGGCACGGCTTTTCAACTAGGCGACATTTTAACTACGACATTTCGACTGAAATTTTCAACTACAACATATCAACTAGTTTTGGTGAAATTACCATATTTTTAGGAATTTGCCGAAATTTTTTTAATTTCCATTTTTTTTATTCTTTGCTTTTCAACAGACAACGTAATGCAACTCAATTCAATCACTGAACTAATACATTAATGATTAATATCGTACAAAAATTCAATTTATTTTTTCTGTTGATGAATCTGAGACTAGCGAAAGATTTGGTTCAGGTGAATCCAAGGGTGTTTAACCCTCTGACTTGCAATCTTATCCCAATACCTGTGGGCGCCGAACGTTCCACGTGGAAGAGGATGAGTAGCGAGCGCGGGAACCGTGCCGTAGCACTAAGTGCACGTTTGAATACATGAGTGCCAAATATACAAATTTTTCAAATTTATCGGTAGATAGGATGAAAGAAATGTAAGGAAGAAAATAAGCATTTCGAAATAAGACATTTCATTGCTGTCAATCTCCAAATCATGAACAGGACCTCGATTTTCAACAAATGGTTGCACTGGATAATTCTCAATATTTCTCAATATTTTTTGGTCTTCAAATGAAGACCATTTCCGTTCTAGTTTTTCATCAATTTTTTTTTTCTTCGCTGAAAAATGATCTGAATTGATTTCACAATTTGAAGGTATCTTTCTTTATTTCACGTATATACCAGGGCTTCCACAGACGCTTTTCAATAAAGTTTCATTCTTTATTCTTTTTTTAGCTAGTGACTCTTTATCATTGACTTTTTTTCTTTTTTTATCTTTCATTATTTGTTGACTATCTATCAAAGCATGTTTTACATATCACGCGAGAATACGCATAGGGCCCCGATAGCTTTGCAATACTTACAACGGCCCTGACGCGACAGGCGTGAGGGAATAGTCACGTGACCATTTCTCTCTAACACATTGCGCTGTGATTGGCGGCCATCACACCGACACGCTTTCGTAAAGTTTGCGGGTCAGAGGATTAAATAGTTTAAAGTGTACACAAATTTGTAAGCACCCGACTAAAATTTGGTCACACAATTGTTTGACTCTTACACCCTCAAAAATCCCCTAAATTGTCTTTTCCCCTGGCGAAGATTCCCCTAGATTCAGCTTCATTACGATGAAGTGAGGATGGCGATCTCCACAGTGATCATCCCTCACCCCTTGCTTTCTCTCCCCAACAGATTGGGAAAACGTAGACATCGAGGTAATTTTCAACCTCCTCCAAGTAGACGAACTAAAAGAGCTCTGTAAACGCATGAAGCTGAATCATAACGCAGCGAAACCAAAGATGATCGCATCGTTGAAGCAACTCCTCCGTCAGAAAACAAGTCACTTCAGCACTACCTCCCCCCGAGAGGTCCTAAAATCTCGATTACTGTCGGTAGCCGGTCCAATTCTAAAACTGTCCGATAGCTTCCTCTCCCTGATCCATCGAATTCTCGTCCTCTACTACCCTAATCACAATCCAGAGGACAAGCTATCCGACATCTTCTACCTATTCTCCGAGGTCCACTACGGTAACAAGACCTTCCCCTCAACTGAGATAATTCGTCTTCCCCTTTTCAAAAATCGTCAGGCTTTGATTGATTACGTAGAGGCGAAACTCGTGTGGACGGAGATGACTCAAATCATGAATGACAAGAATAAAGGGGCTTACCACTGGGAGACGGCTAGGGCATTTGGGACCAAGGCTTACGATAAGTTGAAGAAATTGGTTGATGAAAGGTTGGTACAGTCATACCAACAGCAATCGTCTTCTGAACATCAAAAACAGTCTTCTGACCGTGACAAGCTGCCTTCCCACATTGGCCGTTTCACATCCACGTACATCTGGTCCAAAATCTTAATCCTAAGTATCGAAGCCTTCAAGAAGCTCAAACCCGATGGTTGCTTTCTCGCCGAAACTTATCTAGAATTTCTTCTCAATAACCGTGACAAGATTCCCGTCAACTACGGCAAGCTCTACAAAGAACTGACGATGATTGAGATGAGTCACTTGAAGAATCTCGAACGGTCAGCTGAATTAACCCTAGAAGCCTTATCAGCCACTTCATCGATCATCGACCAAGCGGAGATGATGGAGAGAGCGAGAAAGCTGTCAGGCAGAATCAAAGGCATCTCCTTGATCACGAAGAACAGACTCAAAGACATTATAGCTGAGAAGGAGGAGGAATTTCTCTGTCTGCCGAAGGAGGAGCAGATCGAAGTGACGAAGATGGACAGGGAGGGCTGCTGGGGGAAGAGTCTCTGGCAGTTGGACATGGGGGATGAGGAAAAGGGGTATGGAAACGTTGAAGATGTCGCTCTGAGTCATTACGCGAATATTGGGTATCCAAAGGGAATTCATTGCGAGGGAGCACTTCCGGTCACTCTCTTCGCTTGTCTCTTCTGGAAGGAGATCTACGAACTTCCTGTGCCTGGTGCCTTCGTCTCGCCATTCCAAAGTGCACCTTTGGACTTGTTTGGGTCGAAGTTCTACGAAAATCGGAGGGAGAATTTGGAGAGAAAATTCGCGGAGCTCGAGGGACTCGAGGACTTTGAGACTGTTTGGGTGAACATGACGGAGGTTTATCAGGAGTTTTCGACGCTGGAGTCGATCATCTGTCGGGTGGTGGGTGATGCCCAACTTTTTTACGAGATTATCAAGTCTTTGGGGAAAAATGGGGTACTGGGGATTTGTAAGAGGATTATTCTCGGGGGCTATGTCAATTGGAGATCAGGGTTTCCTGATTTGTTTGTTTGGAATGAGAAAACCGGCAAGTGTAAGGTTGTTGAGGTTAAGGGACCTGGTGACACTCTGTCGGTCAAACAGAAACTATGGATGAAGTATTTGGAGGAAATCGGGGCGAGAGTGGAGGTTTGTCTTGTTAAAGCTAAACAACAATGTTGAGAAATTCACTGATTTTGGTTTGAGGTTACGGGGAAGATCATATTTCATTTTTGTTTTTTTAAGGGCTTCAGTCCTTCAAGGCCATCTTTTCTTCATTTTTTTTATGGAAGACAGCATGTTTGTGGCATGTGCTTTCATTTCATAGTTTGAATGTTAGAGATTGAATATTTAATAATAAGTTAATTGGAAGCTGTGAAAGTCGCTACTTCAGTAGCAGCCTGTGATTTTCATCAGAAATATAGATACTCAGAAGAATAAATAACTATGAAGGAAAAAATTTTTATCGAATCATTTTTTACCGAAAAAGTGGAAGTGGAGTCTACTGTGAAATTAATTAAAATTATTTTCATGAACTTGATGTAATACTTCATACGACTGTCTTGACAAAATAAATAGTTATTTTAAGTAATAAAATTAGTTTTGAATTCCTCCCGTGTCATTTTCCTTCCTATTTTTGGCTGAAATGTACATGAATTCAATGTATGAAAAATGGGAAAAATCGCCGGAAGTCGGGTTTGAATGCATTTACGGGAATTTTACTGATAAAATTTATTAGAAGAGTATATTAATAAAAAAAAAAACAATCATGTGTTAAAATACGTGATAATTCACTGATTCATTTACTCATTTGGGATTCGTTTTCGTTGTTTAATTCAATAACTTCTACAATCAAAATGTCATTATTGCCAACACTTGGCGTGACCCAACCCCAAATAAATCCAAGCGTAAATATTTAAAAATTTGTTTACTAATAATCAGAAAAGCTCAATTTTTGAAAAGCAGGCAAACATGCTCAATTATTCAAAGATCATTAAAACGCCATAAAAACCCCCGACTGATGTGAAGTCTTTCAGTATAATTACCAGAGTGTAAATGTAAAGCACTAGTTATAACAAGGGAACACAGGTAGTAAAGGAAATATTCCAAAATTATTGCTTAAATCGTCGATTTAATCTGCCAAATGCCATCTCAAGAGAATTCATCAATGCTGTTCCACCGAGAAACATTTCTATTCTTGAGATACATCGGCGTATGGAAACCCCAAAATTTACCAAAATGGAAGTCCATTCTCTATAACATCTATTCAACAGTAACAGTAACACTGATAATGACATTCTGTCTCTCTCAATTTTCGGGAATCATCTTATCGAAAAGTGCAAATGTGAAAGCGTTAATGCAGAATATGTTCTTGGCCCTCACGACAATGTGTATCTGTTTGAAAATCATTAACTTGTTCTGCTGTCGTTCGAAATTAATAAATATTTTGGAAATGTTGACGACACATCCGTTTGAATGCCAGAGCTCTGAAGAATATTCAATTTGTTACAAATTCAGCAGACGAGTACGGTAATATACCAACATTATAGACGAAAAAATTTCGTAGCTCATCTGCACGTTTTTTTTCAACAGAATGTTCAATGGAAAATATTCTATAGAAATTCCTCGACTGAAATTTTCCAAATTTTTTGTTTGGTTTTTTTTTAATCGAAAGGGGAGAACAATAGAGTGGAAAAATTAGTTAAGTTCAGTTTATTACTTTGTTTAGAAACAATATCTTGTACAAAGGTGAGAGCAGTTGGCATTCTGTGAACGAGTTAGTCCGTGGAACAGTATAAGTCACGAACCGTATCGGTGTGGAAAGAGTAGGGATCCCTTATAGTATATTGTGTTACTGGTGTGTAAAGATTTACGGACCTTGTGAAGAAAAATGATGTTCGTCACTCGGGCGAAAGCAACTTTTCTGACTCGTGTGATTGCATTTTTCGGCTTCGCCTCGGCCTGCAACCCTCACACTCATCAGAAATAGTACATTACATGCCCGAGCCTTGGAAAACAGATCACCGTCCCCCACGTGCAAGATTGCCTTCCGAGCCGAAGGCGAGCCCTTATTTTCTTAACAAGCAGGCGCCTCTCATTATCAAATAAAGGGCACTCCGTGTAAATATGAGTGAATTGATCAATGACGATTGCCAGACAACCCGTACAGGACGATTCTTTGCTCACGTCGAGGAATTCCGATAGGAAATGACTTAGTAGAAGAAGTTGTATAGAAAGATCAATAGAAATCCAATAGAACCGTTTATCGAATTCGCTAGGTTTTCCTACGAAATTTTTTCGTGCGTGTTAAGATATCATTTTTGTATCTGATCATGATTAATTTCAGATGCCTTTCGATCCTATCCATCGCATACATTGTAATAGCACCACTGTATTTTGCGATTGAAGAAGTATTGGGAAATCTGGCCAAGAGAACTTTGCCCTTTAGCGGCTGGTTCCCGTACGATTACTCCAGTCCATCAGTCTGGTGGTGTATCTCACTGTATCTAGCAATCAGCCTGTACCTCGAAGCTGTCTTCAACATAGTATACAATGCCCTCTTCTTCGAATTGATGATGCGAATAGTGGCGCAGGTGAAAATATTGAAGCATCGACTTCAAGTGATGATGACAGATTTAGGAAACGCTATGAGCGAGAATTCGGCTGAAAAACACTTGCTACTGGAACGTCATTTGTTCCGTGATTGCGTTGAATATCACGTCGTCATTCTCAGGTTAAAATGCGACACCAATCCTGTCATCTGGTGTCCACGTTCATTTGAAATCAGCGAAGCGGTAAAACTGTTCAAGTCGATTTTAACAATTGGTCAGTTTTCAATGACTATCTCGGAATCTAAGGCTGACAGCAAAATTTTTGCTATGACCGAGGGGCTATTCACAGGCGTAATCGTCATGTCACTCGCTGATGTTATCAATTGTAATCCCAGTGAAATCAATGTAATCATTGTAATCACATGATTACCATATTTGTAATCAAGTTTTGGTAATCAAGTGGTCATCACTGTAATCATTTGTAATCAGTGTAATCTTTCGTAGTTGCTCCTAGTGAGACCGTGAATTTTGTTTTTGAATTTTCGAGCGCGTCATTTCTACCAATGGTACTTCTTAGAGATCCCTGGATCAATTTTTCTTGGAATCCCAGATGTTTCTGATTCAGAACCTTGCGTAGCCAATGCGTTTTCCACATAGCATTTGTCCGTGGAAAATTCATTCAACAGAGTTAAAATTTCTTCTTATTCTGGAGAACCAACGACTGAATTATCTCTGAATTATCTGCTGGTAAGTTTCATTCTCCATCAGTGGTAGATATTCAGTAAATTTATTTTGCTGATAGCACTTATAAATGCCCAAATTTTATGATGGAGTGATGGAGACTGCATTGCTCCGTTCTAACCCCCGCCCCTCCTCCATTTCTTTGCAGGTTCTCATAATTAATTATTCCATCAATTCATACTTAATGAGAGGCCATTTTTTGTGATTTCAATGATTACAGATGTTTGGTAATCACAGAATGTAATCGACGAAATCATTTGTAACCATGTAATCACATTCTGTGCTCTTGGTAGTCACGGTTATCACATAGGCAATGGTAATCAGTGTAATCAGTCCCGTAATCCTGAGTAATGAATTACATTTTGTAATCGCGGTGTCGCTCAATTCGCCTGTGAATAGCCTCTCGGTTATGACCTTGTTCCATGTTCAGGTTCTGAAATTAGGGTGGATATGGGAGGAGTTGGTGCAGGAAAGGCCGGAAGTGATTTAACACTGTTCTGTAAAAAATGTCATCATTTATTGGTGGGGTAGAACCACTTCGTTCACTCTATATACAATACATATATACACTTGCTTGGAACTGTTTGTTGAATATCTCAATTATTTAACTGAAGTTAATTCACAAATGAATCACTGTTGGGTTTCTCGAATAGCTATCTCGCTAATGTACTGAATATTTCATTTACTAACAAGAACTGGTGATGTACAGAACCCTAGAAAGTTGAATATTGAAAGAAAATACACGGAGAGAAATATTCAAGAAAAATTACGGAACATTTCACGTAATCCGCAAGCGAGAATCGTTTTCAGTGAATTTCTATAGGAATATAAGAGAAAAAATCTGAAACGTTCAGTAAATTTTCGGGTCCGTCACCGAAAAAATACGAAAAAGTCACGTAATTTTTCTGGAAGTTGTAAAATCTAACAGAAACTTCAAGACTTATTATGCCTCAGAATATGAAAATTCTTGGATGTTTAAGAATTTTTACGAAAAGTTCCGGAAAAATTACGGAACGTGTTGTTAAAATCTCCCCCTCACGGTGACTCATGGCTAGCTGTGAGGCGTCGGATGGATGAGTAATTTTTACGGAACAGATCGTAGAATTTACATGACGATTGACACTTTTTATTGAATTTTACTTCGCTCCCAGATTACGTTTCGAAACGTAATTTTTACGTCTTTTTTCTGGTAATTTTTATTGAATATTTCTCTCCGTGTATACTGCTTTGAACGCTACTTGATCATTTCTGATACACTACTTGAACAGTTGAAAAGCTATTCTTCTTCCGGTTGAAGAAACTGTACTGAACGTCTTTTCCGCGTGTCTCGCTGACTTCTGACCGTTGACCCAAAGGGTCACGGAGGTGTTCGGCGATGGCGAGTTGATCGACCGCTGACTGCTGGAATTTTAGCTTCATTTCAAACAACCCTGTTTTATAGCCATCAGTTCGCCCTAGAAAATCATCAATACGAAAATTTTGCCATCTCCCTCGAAAACTTAAGTCGACTTGAATCGTGTTAACGCTTCACTACAGAAATATGTGATCTCCATCTGTGATGCTTGTACAATTTCAGAATGGCTAAGGACATAAACTCCATATTTGCAACCATAATGATGATCCAGTACTTGATAACTTCACTGGTTTTATCGTCAACTGTTTATCTCATGTCTGAAACCATGCTAGCCTCCCGAGATTTTCTCAAACTCACCGTTTACTTCTTGTCCATGTTTCAGCAGATATTCATGCTTTGTTACGCTGGACATTGTACGTATTTGGAGGTAATCGCAATGAATTACTACATTTATTTTCTACATGAATTCCCAAGTTTCTGATTTTTGTCGATTGACGAAACAGAACGAGGAAAAATTTTGAGCTGCTCAGTTATCTTTTCTTTGGTAATAACCGATATTATTCTTGTAGTTTGATAGTATTGGTGATGTTTTGTACACTTGCAATTGGATGACACTCAGTGAAAACAGTAAGCAATCAATGAAGTTGTTGCTGGTTAATGCTAAGAAACCCTTTGTTTTCGATTGCGGTGGTCTGCTGAAGTTGGATATGGAGGCATTCAAAAATGTGGGTATACATAACATAACGAATAACGCCAACAGTTACTAATGATTATCTTTTTCAGACACTCATGTTTGCGTATTCCATCTACAATATTTTTTAGAGAAACATTAGGACGAAAATTAAGGATTCGTGCAATAAAGAATGTTCATGTCTTTCATGTAACAATCACTGTAATTATGGCATATGATACAAGAAAATATTGTGAGCATTAGATAAATGTGCTGTATTAGCTATTCAGAAAAAATAAAATTTTCAAAGTTTCATAGTTTATCCTATTCTGACCCAGATTTTCTCAGCGCCAAATAGTAGCTGCAGGAATATGTTAAGATCGTGATCATCCCTGTAAAAATGAAAACACATTAGTGAGGGAGTATTTTTTTTATCAAAAGCTTGTTAGTAGAGAAAAGATACTTACCGACAGGCACCCGGTCACGCAGTCGGCCAAATCTCGATAGTTATTGCCATTATTGCGCTTCACTCCGCTTCGTTGAGTGCCTGGGGTAATTGAATTTAAGTCATGTTTTAGTTACGGTTATTGAATACCATTGGTTAATTATTATTCTGGTGTATGGTTATATCCTCTATCTATCGTAAAGACAATCACCACATGAATTAATTGTTATGACAAGTTTGAATGGTTTTAATATATTATCTTGTGGCTTTTTTGTGGATATGAGGATCGTATTACTTAGTAGCTTTCCCTAATTTTTGGGATGGAGTTGTCGTGGGGTGATGTGGTTTGGCATGAGCTGTTTGGGATGAATTCACCGAGAACTGATAACATGATGGTACTTACGTTCTTCAATTTCCACTTGGCCGTTATTATTTCTGCGGACAATGTAGCCTGGTGGAAAGCAATTCAAGTTAAATTGAAGTACAATATTGTTAACTGAGGGATGATTCATCCGTGATGGCATCTCCCGCAGTGAACTGTATGACATCGATTCGATAAAAATTAACGGAAATCATAGAGGTAATACTTACGTTTCACGACTCCATTTCTATTTTGATTGGCGTTACTCCCCCTCCATCCGAGGACTGATAAAGAACATTCAATTAAATTAAGTTGACGTTTTAATTATTAATTATAATTGTAACTATTCCTATAAAGAGTAACCCAAAACTCCTGTCTTCGGTTTGAGGCGTTGAAAGGTGGTAAAAGTCTGAGCCTAAAGGTTCTCATCTACTTGTTATCATCAATTAATCACAACTTTTCAACTGAGACCCGGAATCAAAAGCAGAAAAGGAAGTTTCCACTCAGAATTTCATCCAGTAAAAATTATTTGACACCCGTAGGTGATGAGCAAAAAATCAATCAATCTGATAAATACGATCGATATTCAAAAAATGTTCAAATGCACACTTAAATAGTGACTTGAAAATTGGAAAATTTCGTGTTCAGCGATTGAATCAGGGCTCGAGAACAATAAGACTCCCCTTCCGTTTCACTCCCCTGTGATCTACAGACAAAACACCTTAAAAGGCGGTAAAATTCGGAGCCGAAAGGTTCTCTTCTGCTTGCTATCAACAGAAGAAAATGAAGTTTTCACTCAGAATTTCACTGTTTCTCATGGCCTTCCACGAAGAACGGAAGTATTGGAGTATATTTGAATGTTATCAACGGTTGAGTAACTCATTCATGATGACAAATCACTTTGTCCCTCCAAGTCTTCAATGATCAATCATTCTCCTAGTGTCAGTTATCAATTAGAATTGCTCATATGGTTGTATTACAATATTGTTAACTGAGGGATGATTCATCCGTGATGGCACCTTCCTCAGTAAACTGTATGACATAGATTCGACCAAAATAAACTGAAATCATAGAGATAATACTTACGATCCCCGAATATATTTCCACTTTGATCGCCGTTAGTCGGCTCATATCGGATGACTGATAACAAAAATCATTCAATTCAATTAAGTTGAGGTTTTAATTATTAATCATTATTGTAACTATTCCTATAAAGAGTAATCCGAAAATGCCGTCTTCCATTTGAGGCGTTGACAGACGGTGAAGTTCTGAGTCGAAAGGTTTTATTCTACTTCACGCACGAAAAATTTTAATAGGAAAACCTATCGAATTCGTTAGCAAATTCTATTGAATTTCTATCAAAATTTCTATTAGTTTTTGGCTGATTCTATTGACATGTTCAGTAGAAAACATTTAATGTTTATTTTTTATTTATTTTATCTTATTGTTTCGGATAGACTCAACAGCCAAATGGCCAATGACAGGGTCACTACATAACATATATACATATGAATCAAAAATAAAATATAGCGGACGAATTATGTGTAATCAACAGGGTGTTATGGCGAAAATGAGTAACAAAACTTGGAACTATACATTAGTGTCTGAAACATAATGCCTTGTACTTAATAGATCTTTGTACACTTTCGATGCAATGACAGTTATATTATCCGTATAGCCATCAATGTCGGTATCAGAACTAACTAGATCGTTAACAGCATTTGTCAGTCTATAAAGCGGCGAGTGCAAACTTAAATTCCAGGGAGGGTAGAGGGACATAGAATAATGCACGTGATCTGGAATGTAAGAGCGGGACTCTCAACATTAAACTTATCCCTAGTCTGATCACCTGACGGGAAAATGTGACTTTAGTCACCTTCGCGGGAGAGTGCCGCCACGTTAGTTGGGCTCCAGCGTTGCCGAATCCACTCTACACTTCCCGGGCGCGTTTAGCGAGTTCCCAGCAACGTCGCGCAACAGGCAATTTTATTTAACACGGGAAAAAATTGTTCACCTGTTGGAAATAATTTTTTTTCTCCCAGAATTAAGGATACAATATTGAAAAAAAAATACTAAATTCTTCCAGGTACTTCAATTGACGAATTCAATTTTTCTCAAATTTTTCCGGTCAACCAGTCGATGGCAAGGTGAATAAAACGACGTGTTGCGGCAATTCCCTCACATGGTGACCAGTCTAGGGTTAAATTTAATAGAAAAAGTCAATAGAATTCGATTTTTCTATATAACTGATTCTTTTCATATATTTTCTATAGAATTTGCTCGACCCAGATTTTCCAAGTTTTTTTCATTCTATTTTTATTTTCTTCTCATCAAGAAAATCAAACGAAAAAACTTAGAAAATTTGAGCCGAGGAAATTCTACAGAAAATATCTGAATAGAATAAGTGTATAGAAAAATTGAATTCTATTGAATTTTTCTACTGAATATTTTCTATTGAACATTTCAATAGAATCGGCCAGAAACTAATAGAACAGTTTAATAGAAATTCAATAGAATTTTCTAACCAATTCGATAGGGTTTTCTATTAATTTTTTTCGTCCGTGTTGTTATTGTCAATTAATCACAACTTTTCAATTCAGACTTGGAATCAAAAATAGAAAAGGAAGTTTCCACTCAGAATTTTACTCTTTCTCACCGCCTTTTACTGAGGACGGAAATATTGGGGCGTATTTGAATATTATCAACGGTTGAGTAACTTATTCATAATGACAAATCACTCTGCCCCTCTAAGTATTCAGAGATCAATTGGTCTCCTAGTTTCGGTTATTAATTATAATTGCCAATATCGTTGTATTGCAATATTGTTAACTGAGAGATGATTCATCCGCGATGGCACTCACTCAGTGAACTTTATGAAATAGATTTGACCAAAATGAGTGGAAATCATAGAGATGATACTTACATTTCACGACTCCATTTCCACCTTGATTGCTGTTAGTCCCGCTCGATCGGAGGACTGATAAACAAAAATTCAGTTCAATTAATTTGCCGTTTTAATTATTAATTATGATCGTAACTATTCCTACAAAGAGTAATCCAAAACTCCCGTCTTCCGCTTGAGGCGTTAAAAGGCGGTAAAATTCTGATCCGAAAGGTTCTCTTCTACTTGTTATCATGAATCAATCACAACTTTTCAACTGAGACACGGAATGAAAAATAGACAAGAAAGTTTCCACTCCGAATTTCATGCTTTCTCACCATCTTCCACGAAGGATGAAAGTATTGGAGTGTATTTGAATATTATCGACGGTCGAGTGACTTATTTATGATACACTGTTAGAAAATTACTCTTGAAATTTCAAGTGAAAAAGTTTGAAATTTTTAACAATAACAAAGCTACATAAATTTTCTGTATATTTCTTCATTGATGAATCTGTTAATTTCTTGAATATTCAAATAATTCTCGATTCCCAGGGCCATACGGCATTGAAAAACTGAAAATTTTAACAATTCAGGGAATAACTTTTCGGAATTCTCAATCGATTGAAAATTGAATTGTATGTGTTCAATTCAGTAGCGAAGCGGTAAACCGGGTTAAGTCGATTTTTACTATTGGCTAGTTTTTAACGAATATCTCGGAATCTAAAAGATTTTTGTCATGACCTTTTTTGTAGAGCCAATAGAGCGTTATAAAAAAAGTCGTGAGAAAAATTTTGCTATCTCTCTTAGATTCCGAGATATTCAGCAAAAACTGGCTAATAGTCAAAATCGACTTAACTCAGTTTACCGCTTCACTACTGAATTCAAGCTTTCATTGAAAAATTAATGATTGTTTAAAATGAAAAACCCAATTTTCTTGAATTTCCAAGATAAGTGAGAAATTTAGTGAACGATTTCATTTGAAATTGAATTCAACCTCACAACATCGAAAATTTAGCTGGGGCTGTCACTGAAATTTCAAAAAATTTCTAACAATATAGTAAATCACTCTGTCCCTCCAAGTCTTCAATGATCAATCTCTCTCCTAGTTTTCGTTATTAATTATAATTGCGAATAATGTCGTATTACAAATGTTGTTAACTGAGCCTCCCTCAGTGAATTGTATGAAATAGATTTGACCACAATGAACGGAAATCATATAAAATACTTACGTTGTCCCAATATATTTCCACTTTGTTCGGTGTCAGTCTGCACATACTGGACGTCTGATGAAAAACCATTGAATTTAATTAAGTTGACGTTTTAATTATTAATTATGATTATAACTATTCTTATAAAGAGTAATCCAAAACTGCCGTCTTTCGTTTGAGGTGTTGAAAGGCGGTAAAATTCTGATCCGAAAGGTTCTCTTCTACTTGTTATCATCAATGAATCACAACCTTTCAACTGAGACCCGGAATGAAAAATAGACAAGGAAGTTTCCACGCAGAATTTCGTTCTTTTTCACCACCTTCCACGAAGGGCAGAAGTATTTGGGTGTATTTAAATATTATCAACGGTTGAGTAACTTATTCATGCTGGCAAATCACTGTAATTATAATTGCGAATATGATTGCATTGCAATAGCGTTAACTGAGGGATAATTCATCCGTGACTGCACTTCCCTCAGTGAACTGTATGAAATACACCCAAAAAAATATACTGATTCAAGTCACCGTCGGCTTGATTCAAGTCGAGTGACTCGGGCTCTATTAATCCGAATTTCGGACCTGAATAAGCAGAAAAGTGGATTATTTCAAGAAGACGTCGATTTTTCGGCTTCATTCAAGTCGGCTTTCGGCTTGATTCAAATCGATTTTTTGGTTTGATTCAAGTTGATTTTTCGGCTTGATTCAAGTCGACTTTCGATTTGATCCAAGTCGAGTGACTCGGACTCTATTAAACCGAATTTCAGATCTGATATAAGCAGAAAAGTTGATTATTTCAAGAAGACGTCGATTTTGCGGTTTCATTCAAATCGATTTTTTTAGCTTGATTGGAGTCGATTTTTTGGGTTAATTCAAGGTGATTCTAGGGAGTTATATATGAGGCGGTCGAAAAATCGACTTGAATCAAACCAAAGTCTACCTGAATCAAGTCGAAAAATCGACTTGAATCAAACAAATGTGCCGGTTTGCATCTTTCCGAGTCAGACTTGATTCATGCTGTCGATTCGAAATAATTCAATTCCCAGCATAATTCAGTCCGACTTGATTCAAACCGAATTTTCGATTTGATTCAGGACGTTTTTTTTGGGTGTAGACTAAACGAAAATGAACGGAAATCATACAGATAATACTTACGTTTCACGAGTCCACGTCCACGTTGACCGCCGAGAATCTCCCAAGATTGGGCGGCTGATAAAAAACCATTAAATTAAATTAACCTGACGTTTTAATTATTAATTATAATTGTAACTATTTCTATAAAAACTAACCCACAACTCCCGTTTTCCATTTGAGGCGTCGAAAGGTGGTAAAATTCTGAGCCGAAACGCTCTCTTCAACTTATTATCATTAAGTAATCACAACTTCTCAACTGAGACTCGAAATCAAATAGAAAAGGAAGTTTCCACTTAGAATTTTGCCCTTTCTTACCGCCTTCCAAGACGGACGTATTGGGGCGTATTTGAATATTATCAACGGTTGAAAAACTTATTCATAATGGCAACTCACGCGTTGTGTATAAGTATCGAATGGCGAAGTTGTCTCCGCTCCTGAGGTTGTTTAGAAACGGGCATGCGCAGGTTGGCAGCACATGTCCGTCCGAAACATCGCAGATGCATGTTCCGTAATCGCTGAATACTAGAGACCAATATGGAGAAGTTAATGTAAATGAGGAATTATTGACTATTAACCCTCAATCACACGCTCAACGAGCGCGGCGTCACCCATTTTCGTTTTTTTGTATTTTAGCGGGTTTCTCGACGCTTAAAAATTGTGAAAAAATTAGAGTTCCTAGTTCAATCCTCTTACTAAACGTTTTTGTTTAGCTAAAAAAAAGAAACATCGAACGGACAGAAAAGCGGCGCTACGCCGTCCGTTGCGGGTGAATCCCTGCCGACCGCTCGAGCGGACACCGTTGCGACAGTGTTGCTACACTCACTGCCACGCTTGAAATGCGCGCATAGTAGTAAGCGCCACCGTGGCAACAGCGCGCTCGGTTTAACCCAGCGGCGCTGCGTTGACCGTACGACGGATGACGGCTGGCGGGCGAACACGAGTGATCGAGGGTAAATTGTTCTTTACGGGCATGGGTGCTGCCGCACGTAACCTTTCACTTGACGTGTATTTTTATACAAGGATGCTCTCCAATGTAATTCTTAGGTATCAACATTATTACATTTTGTTAGTTAGAAAGACAGATTTTTTAAATTATTAATTTATTTTATTTTGAAGTGGTTTAAAACGTTGGAATAATAAAGAAGCCTCTATCGGTAAAATCTGGTAAAATATTCAATTGTTCCGTTAATTGAGGGGGGGGGGGTCCGTAATTAACTTATTCATGATGGCAAAGCACTCTGTCTCTCTAAATCTTCAATGATCAATCGGACTCCTAGTTTTGGTTATTAATTATAGTAGCGAATATGATTGTATGCAATATTGTTAACTGAGGGATGATTCATCCGTGATGGAACGTCCCTCAGTGAACTGTACGAGATACATTCGACGAAAATGAACGGAAATCATAGAGGTAATACTTACATTGCGCGACTCCATTTGTGTTTTGAACGCTGTTAGTCCCGCTTGATCGAAGGACTGATAAAAAAACCATTGAATTCAATTACGTTGACGCTTTAATTATTAATTATTATTTATCATTGTAACAATTCCTATAAAGAGTAACCCAAAACTCCCGCCTTCCATTTGAGGCGTTGAAAGGCAGTAACGTTCTGAGCCAAAAGGTTCTCTTCTACTTGTTATCATCAATTAATTGCAACTTTTCAACTGAAACCCGAAATCAAAAATTGAAAAGGAAGTTTTCGCTCAGAATTTCACTCTTTCTCGCCGTCTTCCACGAAAGACGGAAGTATCAAAGAGAATCAACAACCCTGTTTCGAAATTCAAAATTTGACACTCCTCTTTGAAACGTAAGTTTCTGAGGTTGTATTTTTCAAATATATATTTTCAATAAAAATGAGATTTTAAAAAATTATTGAAAATTTGTTTTTTGCGGAATAAAAAAAACCTCAATTTTTTAAATAACCGATGTTTCTTCCAGAGAAATCGATTCACAACATCGATGTTTTTAAAAACATCACCCATCCCTAACCAAAATGAGCGAAAATCATGGAGATAATACTTACACACGACGATTGTATCGCCATTGTTGCTGTCGTTACTGTCGTTACTGTCCCAAGCTCGAACGACTGATAAAAAAATCATTTCATTCAATTCAGTTGGCGTTCCAATTATTATCGTAACAATTTTTATAAAGAGTAATCCAAAACTCCCCTCTTCCATTTGAGGCGTTGAAAGACAATAAAATTCTGAGCCGAAAGGTTCCCTTCTACTTGTTATCATCAATAAATCCCAACTTTTCAACTGCTACTCGGAATCAAAAATAGAAAAGAAAGTTTCCACTCAGAATTTCACCCTTCTTCACCCCCTTCCACGAATGGCGGAAGTTTTGGGGTGCATTTGAATATTGTCATCGCTTGAATAGCTTATTCATGATTGCAACTTACTCCGTCCGCGGTAGGTTCCAACGGTCAATTCGTCTCCTACATTCAACAAGTTTTTTGAAGAGGGGCATTTACAGTATGCAATCACATTTCCGACTCCAGGATTGCAGATACACCGTTTGTCAGCAGAAATGGCTGTGCAAACAAGATGCATATTTTGACATTTTTCGAAATTTCATGGAAAATATTATTATCATTATCGTTATTACTAGGGAGCTACGTCCCCTCCTCGCTCCGCTCGTCAACCCCCCTATGACCCACAATTGACCCCCATGATCCTTATTCCGACTCTTGTGACCCTTAATTTGACCCTCGTGACCCTTAATTATTTTTTATTACTAAACTTTCATCACCACAAGTCGATTTGGATTTTTATAATAGAGAGGTATATAGAGACCCTTGTGACCCATATTTGAGCCCTTAATCTGACCCTCATTATAACCCTCGTGACCCTGATTTTGACCCTGGTGACCCTTGGTTTTTGACCCTTATGTGGACTTACTCTGGATGTTACTCTGATCCTGACGTTTGGGAAACGAATTTCTCCGAAAATGAGCAAAATTTAATTTCCCAAGTCAAATCGACATTTCGATTTATTAATCAACGTAATGTATGACTGCTCTATTTAAATATCGTCAATAGTGAACTCACCCGTGATGGCGACTGCGAAAACGATGACTTGGTACCACATTTTCGAATTTGTTGAATATATTTCTGCTCAATTGTTAGTCTGACGGAAGCTTATAATCAAGTGACGACTTGTCCGCCAAAAATACGCCAGTAAATACCTGCAGCCTCCCTTTGTTCACGTGAGGCGACCAATCAGAAGCTGTACGTGTTGGAATTAGAGTGAGATTATTTGAAAAATGCGTAGGATAGATAGTGCAGTTCAACGCATGGAAGGAAAATGATGATTTTTGTGCGGTCGAGTATCTGTATGAAATACCTCGAGGTACCCCTATCTTTGCAACTTTGTCGCTTCCAGTACACGGGGAGCAAAGTTGGATAAAAATTAGCAGAGATTAGCCCAAATACTATTTTCACTATTAATCACTATTAACGTGTAAATATTTTTCATTATATTATGAATGCATAGTGAGAAATTTGTATTTTTAGAATACCGTATCAATGAGTAATACTTAAAAATAAAGAAATATTATTCAACTAATCAGGAATTACATTTGAATCTTTTAGAGTAATCATTCAATTAGTAATGAAAATCTGAATATTTCCATTATTCGTGACGAATGTCATCGTATTTTTTGATTTTCCATTATCCACTACTATTATAGTGCTCTAATAGTGACGACTTGTCCGCCAAAAATACGCCATTAAATACCTGCCCCTTATGACATATTTTATCTTTGACTACTATTATAGTGCTCTAATAGTAGTGGATAATGGAAAATAAAAAAAATAATAATGAATTCACTTGAATAATTGGTTGCGTTTCATTATTCATGACAAACGAAATCGGTATGTTCTACATTTTCTATTGATATAATAATTAAAATGAATTTTGCACCATTATTGATTGAAAAATTATTTGCTTCATTTTTTATTTTCATATCGACTCGTGTTTTTAGTCTTCCGAAGAAATAAAGCAAACGTGACATTTTATCGGTATCTGGAACGTTTTGTTTAGTTGTTACAACTTTATGAATTCCGTATGTATCAGCATTCGCATGTGTTTTGGTAAACAGTACTGGTTCATCTCAGAGTTATAAACTACATGCGAATGCAGAGAAATCATAGTGATACGAAGAAATTGTTGTTTTTTTATAAAATTTTCGCTTGAGTATTTTATTACATTCCTATTGAACTTTGCGTTAGTTTTTGGCCGATTCTATTAAAAAATTCCATGTTTTCTTTTTAGAAATGTTCAATGAAAAATGTTGTATAGAAAAAATCGATAGAATTCGGTTTTTCTATACAACTTCTTCTATTGAGATATTGTCTATAGAAATTACTCGTCTGAAATTTTCTAATTTTTTTCTTTGCTTTTTTTAATGAAAAGAAGAGAAAATAGAGTGGAAAAAATAAGAAAATTCATGTCAAGGAGTTTCTATAGAAAATGTCCCAATTTTAGAAGTTCTATAGAAAGATGACTTCCTGCTCATTTTCTCTATAAACGATTTCCTCTCGGACGTTGTCTATTAAAAAAATTCTCAGTAGAGCTGCGGAATTCTTCAATAGAAACGCCCAAAAAATAATGGAATTTTCAATAGACAACCAATAGAACCAATAGAATTCTCTGTGAAATTCGCTAGGTTTTTCGATAAAATTTTCGCTTGAGGATTTTCATTGGATTCCTATTGATCTTTCTATTATTTTTTTGTCGATTCTATTGAAAAATTCCGTTTTCTTTTTAGAAATGTTCAAGGGAAAATTTTCTATGAATAAAATCAATAGAATTCAGTTTTTCTAGAAATATAGCTATAAAACTTCTTCTATTGAGATATTTTCTAAAGAAATTAGGGGAGGTTGGGGAAAAATGGACACTTTTGACTTTTTTTAAATGTTAATGACGGGTTTAAATGTTGATAAAATGTTATAATTTTTTTTTCATTGGAAAGAACAATTCTGGGAACGTTAAACGTTTCCCACAAAGGAAAAGAATTACGTTTCACGTCCATTTTACCCCACTCTCTCCTACTCGTCTGAAATTTTCTAATTTTATTATTTACTTTCTTTAATGAAAAGAAGAAAAATAGAATTGAAAAATTCATTCGAGAAATTCCTGTAGAGAATGTCTCAATAGAAAAAATTCTGAAGAAAGATGACTGTCTGCCCAGTTTTTCTGTCAAATATTTTTTATTGGACATGATTTATTAGAAAAACGCTCAGTAGAACGTAGAATTCTTCAATAGAAACGTCCGAAAACTAATGAAATTTTCAATTGACATCCAATAGAATATCCTGTGAAAAACGCTAGGTTTTTCTATGAAATTTTTTCGTGCATGGAATGACAATCACGTGACCAGTCACATGACCCTCTAACTCCAGAAAATCTCCCGCCAATTCCTGTCTGAAAGCTACATGTAGCATTAGCTCCAGAACCACCAGTTCGTACACTTCCTCCCCCAAAATCATTTCCAGTCGGATCAAAAAGAGTATTCGCCAGTGAAAAAGGAGAACAAAATTCAATCGAAAGACAATCCCTAAAAAATCCCTACAAACATATGAGAAAGTGAAAACCTCTGTAGTGATAAGTTCACAATTATCCTTCTCAAATTCACCTGATTGTCACCTGATTTTCGTCGACAATCATGAGTCTGTGGGTGGACAAGCATCGTCCCACGAGCCTCTCAAAACTCGACTATCACACAGAACAGGCAGAGCATCTCAAAAACATGGTGAGTAGCAATACTCCCTTAACTTACAAAGCCTCAGTTGAGGTTATGTCGAAAATTCCAGAAGAGTTTAGCAAAACTAATTGTTTAAATTTCCAACATCTCGCAATCGGCAGAGTCGAATGCATCGATTGTTTCTTCAATTTCGAGATCTTTTTTCAAGCTTTAAAATGAGGCCTGACTCGTCCAAATCGCATCGTTGGGTCAGGAGATATTAAGAATTATACGAACGATAACTTGAAGACAAAAACATGAATCAGACGTTATTGCTTCCGAGTGGAAGATTTTAATCGTTCAAATCGAAGTTTTGGATTTTTTGTGTTATGTCGACTCAGTATGATCCAAAAAATCTGAAAATGCATTTTTTAGATCCCGTCCCTACGTGTGTGCGTTCATCGATTAAATTTTTTTTATTTTCGAATTTTTTCAAACAAACCGATTGGTTGTCCCACAGTAACTAAAAAAAATTTTCTGAATTGATTGAATGATGGTTTAAAAAATTTGTTTGGATGTCCTTTTGACCGAATTTGAAGATGAAGGCGATAGCAATAATCGTTATTTTGATTCATTTGAAAATTTGGAAAAATTTTGTATTTTTTGAAAATAAGAATTCCGGGGATATCTTTGAACATCATGCTTCAAAGGAATTCAATCATAGCTTCAAATGTTTGTTGTAATGTCATTGAGTCGAAGATTTGATTTGATTTTCATGATGATTGATGAAAATTTCGAATTTGCCATGAATTTCCCTGAAAGTGAGCTTCCTGACGGTTCCTTCAAATATAATGTTTCAAATTCATTCAAGTACGTAAAAATAAAATTTTTCCATTAACATTTTATCGAAAGGTTGAGGGGAGAGATTGAACCGTAAAGAAGACAATCGGTTGTATAGAAGAAAGGGATAAAAATAATGATGATGATAACATTCAACTAATTTGAAAATCTGACAAAATTAGTTAGAAAGAAATCTTATTCAGTCTAATAAAATGAAATAATGAATTATACCTGGGAGTAGGAAATTATGCACAAAATAACCACTCGGAAGCATATTGCTAATTTATTTAGTAAGCAACTTCCCACTTTTTTTTTCCTCATCCTCGATTTGAAGTCTCTTAATTTTGTTTTATCGATAAAAATTTGTTTTGGGAATTGTCTAAAGGTCCAGAAGGGTGATTTCCCTCATTTACTGGTCCATGGACCACCAGGAGCAGGAAAAAAGACAAGGATAATGGCGATTATTCGAGAATTGTATGGAAGTGGAGTCGAAAGACTTCGCATGGAGCCAATGCAGTTCGAAGTAATTTCAGAATATTTTTTTTTTACTTTAACATCGATAATTAGTCTCAAATTTTATCACAATATTCATATAGTTTTCCCTTTGAAATTAGACTCCATCGAAGAAGAAATTGGAAATCATGACGATAAGTTCAAATTATCACATTGAAGTCAATCCAAGTGATGTTGGAATTTATGACAGAATTGTTATTATGGATCTGGTTAAAACAACTGCTCAGACACATCAGATTGATATAAATGGTCAACGAGAATTCAAAGGTAATCAAATCATTGATAAATTAATGAGAAATTCATTGAGAATTCGGTTTTTCAAATGACGAATTTTTTTGTAGCCCTCTTTATTCATTTCTTTGTTAATTAGTTAATTTTTATTCTGAATGTTAATTTTTATTAATTATCCATTAATTCAACTGTGACTCCAATTTTAATTTCTTTAAATTTCTTTTTTAATTAACTTCTTCGTTAATTCTAATTTTTGTTCCTCAAATTTGCGTTTGAAATCTCCAGAAAAATATGTTATTTTCGTTTACTTCAGTTGTTTTACTGACAAAAACAGCAGAAATCATTAATAAATCAACGAGGAATTGATTGAGAATTCGTTCATTTTTTTGCATATTTCTTTGTTAATTAATTAATTTTGATTCTAAATGTTAATTTCAAATAATTAATTATCATTAATTCAATTGTGACTTCAGTTTCAACTTCTTTTTTAATTAATTCTTTTGTTAATTCTAATTTCTGTTCCTCAGATTTGCGTTTGAAATCTCCAGAAAAATATGTTATTTTCGATTATTTCAGTGGTTCTATTGACGAGTGTCGATCAACTGACGAAAGATGCCCAGCACGCACTTCGCAGAACCATGGAGAAATACGTGTCCACGTGTAGATTAATTCTCTGTGCAAATTCAACGTCGAGAGTTCTCCCAGCCATCAGATCTCGTTGTCTAGCTGTTCGAGTGCCAGCCCCAACGATTCCAGAGATAAAATCGATACTTCAGTTGGTTGCAAAAAAGGAGGGACTGAATTTACCTGAGGGATTGGCTGAAAATGTGGCTTCGGCGAGTGAGAGGAACCTCAGGAGGGCTATTCTCATGCTGGAGGCTTGCAAAGTTGAACAGTAAGTTTGTAATTTTCCTAATTCTTGAGACGATTCTAATATCAAGTCATTAAGTTAGGTTTTAGTTCTTGATTATCTCAATAACGAATGGATTTAGAGTAAAATGTTATCATATACTTTTTGTGGGAAATTTTCTCAGCTTCAAAAATAATTTTGTGACGTTTTTTCCCAGCTCAATTATTTATGGAGATAAATGCGAGATAAGAACAACAGAATTCTACATAACGAAAAAACTAGATTATTAACATTTTATGAATTCTTTAATTATCTCTCTAATCAATAATTCTACAAAAAAATGTCATAAAACATTATTGATGAGAAATTTCGTCAGCTACAAAAGAAGGCTTATGGAATTTGGCTCTAAAACCGCTCATTTACGGGATAACCACGCAATTAACAGAACTAATAACTTATCAAATTACTTTTCATTGAGGAAATTGCTGATTGATTATTTCCACGATCCCAGGTATCCCTTCACAAACGATCAGAAGATAACCGAGCCAGATTGGCAGGTATTCCTCCGTAAAACAGCAACAATGATGGTGGCAGAGCAAACGCCCAGAAAACTCCTCGACATTCGAGGAAGACTCTACGAATTACTGACCCACGCCATTCCCAGCGATCTTATATTCAAAGGATTGTTGCAAGAGTGCATTAAAAATTGTGATCTCCCATTGAAATCAGAGATTGTGGCAGCTGCTGCTGAATTCGAGCACAGGATGCATCACGGATCGAAGCCCATATTTCATCTGGAGGCATTTGTCGCTCGTTTCATGGCGGTTTATAAGAAATTCATGGATGCCAGTATGAACGATTTTTGAGGGATGAAAAATTACTTTTCTCATCTGAACTATTTAAAATAATTGTAATTTAAAGTTTTTCTACTTTGTCCTTCTCATTTTTACATGAATAAGAAGAGTGTGATTTTTGTACAATTGAATTTTTTTATGCAATTGAATATGAAAAATTGAAGGAAAAGTTTATTGTTTGAAGAGGAGACATTTAATCTCTCTACAGGGCGTTCGACGACCGATCCGCTTTCTTCGGGAGTATTGAAGAAGGTGATTTTTTAAATGGAAAGTTCTCCGTCGACTTTTGTGTGCACTTTTTTGGCCTGTCCTTTTTTCTTTTGGTCTGTTGCTACTGATTTCAGGGACAAATATTCATTTTTTACGATTGTTCAAAAATTTCTTTTTTTTCTTTTTTTTTCTTTGGAAAAAAGAAAAAAATTATTAATAACACTTCCCTTTTTTGTCGTATCGCGCCCAAATTTTTATTTCGTTCATTTTTTGGGTCATTTCTTGAGGGATTGATCGGAAAACTGTTTAAACAATTGAATTATTATCATTTATGATTTTAATTATCAATTATTATCAATGACCTCCTTTTCAATTATAGAAATCACTAGACTGGTACTCGAAAATTGAGTCATCTATAAACGGAAATTGACGGTCTGATATTCTTCACTAGAGTTAAAACAAAAAAATTATCAAGAATAATTTTTTTTCCCTATGATAACATCATTTAATTCTTATTCCCTCTCGCTCTAATAAATTACTCAATAATTTTATTTCAAAGACAGATATAATACAATGAATATTTCGGTGAAACTGTCACCTAGGATTTTAACTTCAAAACATGGCAGATAGAATGAAGGCTGAAATTACTGATAGCCCGAGGACAGTCCAACCGGTGCTGTAGACCTGCTTGATCGTGAGGAACTGTCCCATGTCCCATCCCTGATGTGAGAAAAAGGAAAAAAATTAGAACATGCGAAGAATTGAATAAATGGACAAGACTTCAAATAATTCGAGCTCTATTAGAGTTTAATTCAGTAGCGCAGCGGTAAAACGCTTTATGTCGACATAGCTCTCAGCTGAGTTTTTGCGGAATATCTCCGAATCTAACAGAGATAGCGAAATTTTCATAATTAGCTTTTTCATAGCTCTCAATTCGCCCTACAAACAAGATTTGTTTGAAACGCAGCAAATATTTCACTATCAAAATTGCCGGGCTTAACCGAAAATCTCAGACGACTTCGAGACCCTTCGGGTTCACAGGCAAATCACGAAGCAAATTGCCAAATATGAAATTTCAGTAGTATCAACCTAGTCATCAAAGAGTATACATCTGTCAGGGTCGTAATCGCTCAAGCGAGTACATCAGCGTGAGATATATCGAGTCTAGTGCTCACGGTAGCATCTCTATTAAATTCAAATATTAGTTAATTTCGAGTCAGTGTTAATCAATTTTGAGTTCTTTATCCGTTTCAATACCGAGAGATTATCCAGTGAATTGTAAAGACAATCATCAATTAATTCGAGATATTCAAGTGCACCTTTAAATTTTCAAGACGCGTGACTCACAGCACAAATAAAGTACATAGCCAGTGTGTTTAGTAATCCACGTGTTTCTTACTTTTCACCCTTGCTGGATCACTTCCCCAAATCCGCCCTAACATCATAACTTCCTCTCTAACACGGTTATAACGTAAATTTTTCTATCTGCCTTAGATTTCGAGATATTTATTGAAAACTGACCAATAGCCAAAATCGACTTGAACCGTTTTATCGCTTCGCCACAGAATTCGTATTTTTTTCTACAAGAATGCTTGAAGATGAATTTTTTGAGTTTTTGATCAGAAAATTTATCCGCAAGAGATTGTTTGTATGTAGAAAAAAACGCAATTTATTGACTTGTCGAGGCAAAAGAGAATGGGAATGATAATTATGTTTTTTATTCACCAAGTGACGAATTCCGTTCAAGTAGTGGTAAGTTGCTGGCCAGGCTACCGCAAATTTGAGAAGGAATAGAATAGGACTCGCCAGGCTCATGGCAGCTATTGAATCGATGACACAATTCACACCTCCAGGCAAGAACAGACTGGCTAAAAATAAATCATAAATGTAAGGATAAAAAAATTTTGATAGTGACTAAAAAAATTTTATCCTGCATTTTTTCTCATCTCTATTTCATGCAAAATAGAAATAATAAATATAAGCATAAAAATTTTGATATTAACTACGAAATGTCATCCTTCGATTAATTAGAAAAAAAATGAATGGAATTTCAAGGATGAAATTTCCAACAAATAATGTGAACTAAAATTTGTCGTCAGAATCATTCAGAAAATTTTTCAAAACAACAGAAATTCCACAGGAATAATATCTTAGTCGAGTAGGAAATTGCTCTTGTATTGCATAAAATATAGTTACTTTCGCTAATAAATCATTAAAAAATTGATGAATTGCAAAAAACATTAAATTACATTAAATTAAACATTCAATAATGAGCAATTTCACCTGCACCAGCCCCAGTTGCATAGAAAGCAAGTGCCATTCCAGTGCCTCGATGTGTGATTGACAGCATTGATGTCAATTGTGGTTTGTAAATAGTCAAATGCGGTGACATTGGCCTCTTCAATCGTTTATTCTTCTCGACATACGACTCACAAGCCTGAACAGCTGCACACCTGCTCAATGTCGATGGCATACCCACGGAACTGCTGGAAAATATCAAAATCCACATCTTCAATTTCTCAATCTCAAGTAATTCGACAGTAAAATTAAAATCCCAAAAATTGAGAAAAAAAATAAACGAAAAGGTTATGTAACAGATAATTTTTTACCTGGGCCCGAGAATCCCCTTGAGCTGTCCGACATTAAGACCCCTTTGACAGAACAATCTGAACATTTGCAAAAATTAATTAAGACTTTGAAAAATGGAATAGTCACATCGAAATTAATTTAGAAGATTATTTTGAATCTTATCACCTTGTGTAGCTCAATGCCATTTGTCGTATGTTTATGTCTCTCGAGATCTGAAAAAAACAATTTTTTGCTGATTCTGAAATAAAAATGGCACTAATTATTTTTTAAAATTTTTCGCTCTTATTTTTCCTTACGTCACAGCCGAAAAATTATGGAAACAAATATCAGGTTGAGGAATTATTCGGCCTGTCTTTATTGAACCGAGCCTCACCTGTGGTACGACTGTGGTGACACGAGGGTCGGCGGGTACTCGATGAAACAAACCCCGCTGCTATCCAATTTCAAAAGACTTCACATTTATTTATTTATTTATATTTAGGGGATGTTGGGGTAAAATGGAGACTTTTGACTTTTTTTAAATGTTAATGACAGGTTGAAATGTTGATGAAATTCAATATTTTTTCCTTCAATGCAAAGAGCATTCCTTTCCCTTTGTAATGAACCTAAACTGAGCTCAATTGGTAAATTTGTTTCTGAGTTATGAGTAATTTAAAAAAAGTCCAAAGTGTCCATTTTACCCCATCCTCCCCTATGCATTTCTAATCGCATCGACAACGTGGTCATTCGTGACGATTAAAAAAAAAAAGAAATCACAATATTATACAATGAAGGAATAAATGAATAAATTTAACTCAAATTAGTTTAAGGGGGCAATGTTCTTACGGTGTTTCGATTGAAAAACCAAAGTAATGGAAAAAAATTGAAAAATTCATGGAAGAAATTTCTAATTATGCTCAGTGAGTGTTCCTGAGACGGTGAGTCCTCAGACGGGTGGTTAATTTTTACGGAACAAATCGTAGAATTTACGTGGAGATTCGTACAATTTCAGTTCCGACTCACACTTTTTATTGAATTTTACTTCATTCGCGGATTACATTTCGAAACGTAATTTTTACGTTTTTTTTCTGGTAATTTTTATTGAATTTATCTCTCCATACAACCAAGTGTAAAATTTCTTGGCGTAAGATCATTTTTCTTAGTGTTTATTCGAGCCATGAATTTCTTTATACAAGTAAAGAGGTATTTCTCAAAAAGACTTGCCTTTTCAGTGTAAGCTGCGCTGAGCATGTTTACTAAGTGGATTGGTGACTATGGAAAGCAGGGAAATTCACAATAACTCAATTGAGGGGAGATTACTATGAGTGTTAAAAGTCGCGGGCGATTAGAATAAGATTTGCCATACATTGCAGATCGATTAAATGTGTCTAAAAACGAATAATTAGTGCAAAAAAAATTGTTTATTGTTCGTTTGCGCCGCAAACACTTAAAATGTTAACACTAGTCCAGGGCCTCTAATTTTGGAGCTACAGAGGTTTCATTGTTTCAAAATTTCGAAAAAAATGCGTGCAGTAATAATTACAAATTGGTTCTGTGAAATTCAACTCCTGCACATCCAATTTGGTATTGTTTAAAATAAAAATTCATGTAAACTAGGTAGAAAAATTATCGTTAAAATATTAAAAATATATTCTCGATTCTTCCAAAAACATTTTTCGGACTATTTTACATGAATGGTGCAATTTTTGATTAAAAAAATAACGAAATTAACTGTGTAGAAGTTGAATCTCAATAAACTAATTCGTAATTCTTATTGCACAGATTTTTTCAAAAATTTTGAAAAAAAAAGAAACCTCTGAAGCTCAATAATTCAAGGCCCTGGACTATTTTTAACATTTTAAGCATCTGCGGGGCAAAGGAACAATAAACAATCAATTTTTTAGCACTAATTATTCATATTTCGACATATATAAGCGATTTATTTATTATGGCTTCCGGATGGATACCGTGTCTAGATTCAGCTTCTTGTCGACGTTGCGCAAACATTTCAGTCTGCATCATCAGAGCTAGGTCGCTCCGATACGGGAGCTCCCTGTTGTAAGGAAGCCCTTATATCCCCCCTGACTCCTGGAGGGGGTAAGTGGCGTGATGGGGGGTATCGCAGCCAATCAAGATCGTTTTAATTGATTAGCTGGTCAATTAAAAAACCGGGAGGACAGTGAGCCAAATAGGATCGGTTTGATATCCTCGATCCCTATTGAGATTATTCGGATGTTTTTGGATCTCGAGACCTTCGCGATGTTTTCTGGCGAAATATCCTTGTCAGCTGGCAAGCATTTCTGTCTACGAAATGCGAGGTCGCATTTCAATATCCCACTCCTTTGAAAACTCATAGTAGTCTCCCCTTAGCGTAATGTCTCCGTCAATAAATTAACTTTTTTAATCACAAAAATAACAGCTTCACTTTTAGGATGAATTACAAAATACAATTGGCTATTTACAGAGATTCGATTATCTTCAGTTTTAAGAGAGCTGAAAAACGAAAATGAAAAAATTGCAATGAAATTTCAGTTGTTGGATTTCGCTACAGCTCGTCAGCCCCGAACCACTTGGATTTCTTCTTCTCTTTTTTCCTGTCACCACACCAGCAGGCCTCTCTCTGTGCGTCCATGTAGCTCTTGCAGCCGAGGGCAGTTGTACCAGTGAACAACATTTTCGCTGCTGCTTTGCAGGTATTGACAACTGTGACCCCAGTGGTCTGGTAACCCTCGCAGTACTTGTACAAACAGCGCTTCATCTCCAAGTCACATTTTTCCTTGTCGTTGTTGCAGGTGTCATAGCAAATGTCGTGTTGATCGCAGCATTTCGTCATTTCCGAGAGAGGCAGGTATTCCGAACTTATCTGGAAATTGCAGGTGATTTCGATTTTTGAGGGTGATGAGGGGTAGGATTGTGAAATTGTAGCAAGGCCAGCGCCAATTTTTTACCTCAATTCCTAGTGAGCCACATCCATTACTCTGGGGCACATGATTTCTGTTTGGTTTGGGAGTCACACCTGCCACATTTATGATGAATCAATGCAAGTTCATCATGACACGTACGAAAAAATTTCATACACTGATAGAAAAAATTATTTTTATTGAGATGTTTCTTCCTTGGAACAAGTATTATTTACTTGAACCAATCCTAAATAAATAAGATCTTACGGTGAATATCAATTATTTCTTCTTGAAATACATTTATTTGCATCAAATAAAACAGTTCTTGGCGTCAAGTCATATGTATTCACCATAAAAGTGAAAAAATTCTATTTTTTTAACCTAATATAATCTTCAGTCGATAAATTTTCTACTTTCATAAAATGAACTCAAAATCTTATCTAGGAGACGATTAAATTGAGGAATGAATTGAATGTTGTTTTCTCGAATGAAGTCGATGTTTAAATTGAGCTTTCTGTACATCACATTGAACGAAATTTGTGATATCCAAGTTTGTGTTGAATTGCCGTAATCTGTGATTCTGTTATATTGTAAACTAATGCGATTTTGTTAGTCAAGAAATACAAACTTCTTTCAACTCAACGACATCTTACTACAATCTCAAGAATCCCGGAAAAAAGAGACCATGGAAAAAATAGACCAAGGGAAATTTTTAATTTGGGTGGGCTTTAGCACGTTTTGAGTGTGTGGGATGTTTTTTCCCGGTCTATTTTTTCCACCTACCACTGAAATCTTTGCGTGCGTTATTAATATGTAAACATAGAAGCTTGACATTTTTGAGGTTATGATAAAAAAAACGACCTATAGAATTCTCACCCGAAGGACATTGAAAGACACAATTTTCTTCCACAGCTGCGTCGAATACTTCATGAATATCTTTCATTTTTCTCGCCACAGTGATGGCATTTTGGAAAAAATCACCAAAAACAGTCTCTGCTGCTAGCACAGCATCGCGAAGATTGCCCAGTAGACCAGCACCATAACCAGACCATGCGTACGCCATGAATGTGAGAATATAGACGAAAAATTTACGATAGCGGAGAAGATCCATAATTGCGCAATTTAATTGAGCACTAATACTGAATTTCTTAGGTGAGAGCGGTGATTTGGTCCTTTCAAACGTGTGAAAATTTGACTGGCCGCGGTGAGCGGTTCACCGTCCCCACGTCAACGCGGCGAAATATATTTATAGAAATGGAGGTGCTAAAAGATGAAAGAAAATTAGCGATCGATGCACGAACATAAAAAAATCGATTTTTCGATGTCTCTGGGAAACGTTGAAAAGGCATTTTTTAATACTGAGAAAATATCCACAGATTCGATTTCTATTAGTGCATTTTGATAAGATGAATTGAAAGAATATATGACAGAGTGCGAATTAAAGATGAAAAATTTTAGTCGATTATTTAATTTTTTGGATCAATTGTATAATTTTTTCTTCGAGTGCAATTATTAATTATGCAATTATTCCTCATTAAAATATAAAAATTCTGAAGTTCTTTACTTTTTTTTGGGGAATTTGCGAGGAAATATTATAATGTCTAGGGCTTTTAATTTTTTTTTTCAAAGAGGGTAATCAAGTTATTCTAATTATTTCTAACTCCAAAAAATGTATTAAAAACAACTCAACATTAAGAATACAAATGCAGTTGCGCTTCTCTTCTAAAAAAACATATTTCATCCCATTTGGAAAATTAATTGAAATCAACATTACATTTCAATAAAACAACATTTTTAAAAAATTGTCTCAGTCTCATTGCAGCGAAATGAAGCATCATTTTTTTCGAAACCTTGCGACAATGTCATGATGCGGCACTCCCTGAGTCTCTGGTAGGGCTAGAGCGATGAAAATCGTCGCGATTATCGATACTGCACAGTAAATATAAACCGTCGATAGAACACCATTTACCAACAATAACGGATAAATGTGTAGTGTTGTGAAATTAAAAATGTTGGCCATGCACGTGGTAAGTGGTGCGAGGTAATGAACGTATTTCGTTGGGTATAATTCACCAACCATTGACCATGGAACCGCTATCAAACCGTAGGAGCCGGCGGCCTGCAATGAAATTTCTAAAATATTGGATGGAAAAATCTGAAAGATGGCTTGAAACATTTGTTCACTTTCTAGAAATCGGATGAAGTGAGTTGAGGATGATATGAAGAAGATGAATAATTTTAATAACTATTCAAAAATACGAGTTGGGGTCGCCGCCATCTTTAAAGCCCCTTGCGGCAGAGGGAGGGGTTGTCCAAGCAAGATGGCGTCGCCCACATCTGTCAATCACCTCGTATTTTTGAACATTTCTCACAATTATTTATCCCCTTCAAATCAATTTCAACTCGTTTCATCCAGTTCCTAGAAAATGAACAAATTTTCCAAGCTGTCCTTCAGATTTTGTCATTCTCTTTTGGCTGAAAATTTATGGGGCTTTTTTTTACTCATCATCATCATTTTAAAAATAAGAATGTTCTTATTTGAAAAAATGCATAAGTTCTGAATTTCAGAGCCAAGATGTCCTTGAAACTGACTTCAATACTCACCACCAAAATAAATCTACAAACAATTGTAATAGGCTGATATTTATTTTGTGATGGGATTGAGGGAATTGTAAATTTATAGGGAATAGGGCAGACCGGAGGAAAAAAAAATCCTGAAAAATCCTGGGCTAAATTCAACATTTTTATGCATATTCGAAAATACGAGCTGGGGTCGCCGCCATCTTTAAAGCCCCTTGCGGCAGAGGGAGGGGTTGTCCAAGCAAGATGGCGCCGCCCACGTCTGTCAACCACCTCGCATTTTTGAACATTTCTCACAATTATTTATCCCCTTCAAATCAATTTCAACTCAGTTCATTCAGTTCCCAGAAAATGAACAAATTTTCCAAGTTATCCTTCAAATTTTGTCATTCTCTTTTGGTTGAAAATTCATGGGACATTTTTTTATTCATCATCATTTCAAAAATAAGAATATTCTTATGTAAAAAACCCAAATGTTCTGAATTCCAGAACAGGATTTCCCGAAGCTGATTTTCGTACTCACCACAAAAATAAATATACAAACAATTGCAACAGGTTGATATGTATCATGTAGATCATTTGGTTTGATGAACTGCAAATAAATTCCTAAGACCCCCAACGAAATGGCCATGCCCACAGTGGATAAAAGCGATATGCTGCGAACTCCCAGTCTGAAAATGTTGCAATGTTGTTTGACCATTCCATCGAAGAATTGAAGACCTCATTTCTTTCAACATATATCTGTTTTGATGAATTTTATTGCCTCGAAAAATCCACTGAAAAAAAAAACAAAAGTACCTGTAGCTCGTGGCGACAAGGAGAACGCCTGCCAACAGTTGCATAACACCAATAACAGCAGTGATGAGAAAAGGATCAGCTGACAAGCCGACTTCGGTGACAAAGTTGACTGAATAAGCAACAATGACGCATATCCCGCAGAATTGTTGCAAGAAAAACAGAGCATTGAGGATTAAAAATGGCTTCCAAACTTCTGGCAACAGCATTATCCACCAAATCTTCTGAATTCTACGGTGAATACCGCTAGTGACTTGATCTTCTGTCGGATTTTTGCCGTAAAGTTCGAAAGACATTGTCTGAATTTCGCACTCTTTGAATTTTTTCAAACAGTCATTCTGCATTTGTGTGAATTCTGCATTGAGTTCAGGTGTTTCTTTCTTCAATCCCCGGAGTTTCATGAGGGATTGTTTGGCCATTGACTCCTGATTATTATACAGCAGCCATATGGGACTCTCGGGAAGGAATAATAGAATTGATGAGGCTGATAGAAGTGGAATTATAGTTGATATAGCGGCCTGCATCCGCCAGTTCTAGAAGATTAAAAAAATGTGAAACGGTGGCGGATATTGACATCTGTGAGGGGATCATGGAAATTTTAGAGAACAGGGCAGATCGGAAAAAAAATTATCATGAAACAAAAGTTTAATTCAACATTGTATTTGAACCTATCTCATTCAATAATTCATTCTTAAATTGAACAAGTGGAAGATTGCTCTTGTATTGCATTAGGCGAGGGTAGGGCAAAACGGACCGCTGACAGATTGGTAATTGGTAATTTTTGTTTTTTTTCTTCTTTCCTTTAAATCAGGAACACTGAATGTGTTGAATTGAAAGTGAGTTTCTTGGATCGTAACCGCCACAGGGGGTTCATAGACAAGAAGTGTCGTTGATCGGCAATTTGATCAGATTTGCTAATCACTTCAAACTACAAATGACTGAATTTTTGTTTTTGCTTCCATTGAGAAACAAAAACAAAAATTATCAATTTTCTGTCAGTGGTCCGCTTTGCCCTAGGGGTCCGTTTTGCCCTACCCACCCCTAGTATAGTTATTTTTGCTAAAAATTGCATTTTCAGACTTTTTGGACCATACTGGGTCGATATAAAACAAAAAATCTAAAATTTAAATTTGAACGACTACAAAGCTTCCATCCGGAAGCAAAAATCGAATTCATTCTTAAAGACGGTCATAAAATTATTGATTGAAGCCTGCCCTCAATTTATTGCTGACGAAAAAATCAGATGCTTGTTTGAATAAATTTTCTCACTTCTGGGAAGATGGATTTGACTCACCTGAATGAAGAAGCCAAGAACGTAAATTATCAGAATCCCAACGGCTACAGAGACACTCGTGCCATTTATTAAACCCAACCGGTGCCGAGGTGTTGATATTTCAGCAATGTAAACAACTGTTGGCGCTGATACTAAACCCGTGCCAACTCCTAAAATTTTTCATGATTTTTCTTAATGGAGGTAATTAATTAATTCATCAGCCTAGGCCGGTCGCCGCGGCTCATTCGGTAACGCGCTCGCCTTCTGAGACGTGACGCCTCGAGGGGCGCCGGAGAAGGGACCACGCACTCTTACGGAGAAACTTCGAGGTGGGGACAATCCGAGCGGCATTAGAGAGTTAAGGTATCTCTCTAGAAAACCGGATTTTCTTATGATTGTTCCCGTGTATTTTATAGAGAATGTTCATAATATTCCCCAGCTGTTGACAAAATTGCAGGTGGCTGTATCTTTGATACAGCTGCCATTGTACGTGGATACGTCCATGGTCTTTCCTTCTTTCTCGAATTTCATAGAAACTCCTTGTATTCTCTCGAATTTCCTAGAAACTTCTCGCATTCCCTCGAATTTCTTAGAAACTCCTTGCATACCCTCGAATTTTCTGGAAACTCCTTGAATTCTCTCGAAATTTCTAGACACTCCTAGAATTTTTTCGAAATTTCAAAAAACTTTTCGAATTGTCTCGAAATGTCTATAATTTTCTAGAATTCCGATAGATGGCGCTGCACATAAGGACCGTTTCCCAAAATGACCTCCCATATTGAAACCATAGACGTATCCACGTTAAAAATTCTAACCAGCTGTAGTACACTGTTTAGGAGATAATAAATAATGAAATGCGGGTTTCTAGCACGGGAGGTATCTGAGTAGAAATTTCGTCGGGAGCCACCAATGTGCATTGGGAACCAATGAGTTTGTTATAGGTTACTGACTCATAGGTTGTACCTGACGTGTAACCTGTAGGTTCTAAACACAACAATAATAGTAGGGATGGTCATTGTAGGTGACAGATGACTTTACCACCGACTACTAACTTGTGTAGCTCAACCCCTTTGTAACTTATTTGTCCCTTATAAGGTGTTAAAGACATTTAATTGTACAAGTCCGGTCGGGCATAACTGATCCCATCAGAGAACCCATCAGTAATCTAAATAAGGGTCAAAATTAAGAATCAGAAATAAGGGTCACGAGGGCCAAAAATGGAGATAAAAAATAGACGTCAGAAATAAGGGTCACAAGGGTCAGGAATGAACGTCAGAAGTAAGAGTCGCGAGGGTCAGAAATAAGGTTCATTAATTAAGAAGGGTCATAATTAAGGTTTGGGGAAAATCATATGTCAATCACCAGAGAATCTGAATCTTCGCTTTATCTAGAATATCTAAATATTATATTCCCAAGAATTACAGGATAGCGGACTTGGACTTCAGCACAACAGACGATCACCAAAGTTAAGTAACATCGAGTAGGGTTCGGAATTGGATGGGTGACCCCTCACCGATAATGTGATTTTTTTTTCTTTTTCTGTGTGTATAAATCGATTCTCATCATTGGGCATGCTTTCCCATGGCAATTAATGAGGTATTAATCACTAACAAATTGTTGATAATAATGAGGTTAATAAATAATTAAGTGGGTTTTTGATGGGTTGCCATAACTTGTGAGGTAACTGCGTGACGTTTTCATGAGTTCCTTGTAGGTCGTAACCTATGTGGAAATGGTGACCATGTCGGTTGCACCGCATCGGTAACCGATGATAAACCGACGAAATTTCTACTCGGGGCATAGGTCACACGGGGTTATGGGTCCCCCGAACTCGATTTTCCCATCTTATGAGTATAAAAAACGAATCCGTGGTAGATTGATAAATTTTGAATGCGGTGAATTTTTTGTAAACTTTCTACTTCATACACTGAGAAGACAAGTGTTTTTTAGAAGTACTTCGTTACGTATATCAAGGAATTTGTGGCTTGAAAATTGCCAAGCGTACAATATCTCACACTAAGAAAAAAAAAACTTACGCCAAGCAATTTTATACTTGTCCGAAAGATGAGGACACTTTCGTCATATCAAGAAAACGAGTACTCATCAATTAAAGCGATTTTTGCATTAAAATATTTTAGAATTGAGGCTAAAACACTATTAAATGAATTAATTCAATTTTACTTGGTTTGAGAAATCGCTTCCTTGTCATCAAAAAATTGTCCTCGTCTTTAGGAGAAGTACAAAATTACTTGACGAAAGTTTTTATTTTCTTGGTGCAAGATATTTTACTCTTGAAAATTTCAAAGTCAGAAGTTTCTTGATATAAGTGAAGACCGATTTCTCAAAAACATTTATTTTTGTCAGTGTAGTTTCTGCGATATTCAACTCTAAAAAATGGAAATTTCGTGAAGTTATTTTTTATTTGATTCAAACAATTAATTAACATAGCTCTACCCGTCGGCACGGGCTATGCTGTACTTTTGGATATGTTCAGTTTTTAAATTTTTCAACTAAATTGCATGGAAAAAATTTGAAAAAATTCATACCCAATCAGTATTGTCTAAATTAAATTTCGCAAAATATTGATATTTTTCAATCATTTCCCTCTTATAAATAAATAATAAAACTTGTTTGCAAAACGGTGGATTATTTTTTATGAGGTGTCAAAAAAATTCTTGATTTTTCCACATCTAATGAAAAAACATTCAGATTTTAATCTTTGATAAAAATGGAAATGTTGATTTTCACATAAGACACTAGGGTTACATCCTGATTTTTAAACATGTCTTCTTTGAAAAACCAAAACGATAATTAAATTGAGAAAAAAAAAATTAGAATTCCGAATTTAATCGAGTTTTCTGCAATTTTTTTTGCACTTTTCAATATTTTTTTAATTTACCGTAAGGATAGAGCTACTTTAACAAATAATTTCTCATTTGATTCACGCAGTTATTGTTGCCTTCATCAAAAACATATGAGGATAGAAAAACTCACTAACTTATGAAAATGCAATAAATTAATTCATTTAGAATTTTTTTCGGAAATTCATAGGGACGGACTTTCGGGTGGTATTAATCTTGGGATATACCTTAACGACTATGGCCACGAGGATGATTCTAAAATTCAATTCATGCAAGGGATACCGTTACCGTTCAAAGTAGACGGAGAGAAATATTCAATAAAAATTACGTATCTTTTCCGTAATTCCGGAGCGAAATGTGTTTGTAGGAAATTTTACGAACTGTCACGGAATTTTTTCAGAGCGTTCCGTAATTTTTGTCTGAATCTCCTGTGAAAAATTACGATACCGTCACTGCAATTTTCTGAGTCGATTCTATAATCGGTGAGCGAATTGAGAGCTCCGTAATTTTTACTGAACATTTCTCTCCGTGTAGACTAACGTTGAGAATTCAAGAATGGAGGTCTGTGTGATATACACATGTAACCCCTGACGGAATCCTGATTAATTAAATGCTTGGATAATTAACTGATTAATTCATAAATTAATGGTATTGAAATTTAATTAAGAAGCGATCGATCAGAATATCTGATAAATCCTATAAGCGATAATTGTGATAAGAAATCATTCACGATGTATGTACCTACGATAAATCGTCCAATAAGAATTTGTTCAACTCCATAACTGACTGAAATTATCAGCCATCCAGCGGCACATGCGAATCCAGTAATGACCATCGGGATTTTTCTCCCTGTTCTCATGCAAAATGTCCCGAGCAGACATCCGAAAGGACCAGAAATTCCCACAATTGATGCTGTTCAAATGTTTCAGATAACTTTTCATAAAAAATTAAATTATAATTAAATTTCTTATTTATTCATTTATTATTAATGATTATTTATTTATTTAAATTTATTGAATATTCCATCTCCAGGATGGGTCTCTTCAATTTCAATCGATGGGATTTTCCCACATGTGTAATGATGAAGAAAAATGGAAAGAAAAATTGAATGAAAAGAGAATGAAAAAAAGTTTCAAAAACTTACCAAACCATGTAGCAGCAGTTTCATTACCATACAAAATAGCATCACTCCCCTCTGATGTATCATTCTTCGTCAATAATGGTAAAGCCACTGCGGAGTACCCAATATTCATCCCCGGGCTGATTAATGTCATCATCGTGTGTATGGCATAGTAAAACTGTCGGATGAATTAATAATTTCAATTACAAAATGATACTTTCTCTCGTGAGGATTGACTAACATCAGCATTTCTTTTGGAAACTCCGCAATCATGCAAATTTAAATTTTGGATTTTTTGGGTTGTATCAAGCTATTATGATCCGTAAAGTTCGCAACCGCAATCTTTAGACCTTGACCGTATGTATGTGATCAAATTGTGCTTTAATCGTTCGCTCATGACTCGATGGAATTTAACCATTTTTGTTGTCCAAATGCAGATACTGTTGAGATAGTCCTGAATTTTTGTCACAATTAACCTTGAGAAGTTGTGGAAAAACTTAAAAAGTTACTCAAAATGTTGCTTGGAAAATAAGGATTCGATGAATAATCTAAATATTAATATATTAATATTAATAGTATAAATATTTAATGGATTTTATCAACACAATTGACTCTTCGTATCAGTAGATCTCAAAAATCATAACGAATAATAAACATGAAACCATTTCGTTTCCATAAATATTCATTGAACTCAACTATTATAACCATTTCTTCTTTATATACGAATGAAATTCCTTTGTATTTTATAATTGCGTTATTTGGACCAAGAGATTGTTAAAAAAAAATGTTTTTTTTTAATTTTCCAAACTGTGGACAAGTATAAATAATACTTACTCACTGGTGGGTGTTATAATCACTGGCAATTAAATCTTTGCTCATTTGTTGGAAAGAGCCTCGAAGGATTTGCCTCAACATAATATTGTCATTTAATATTAATAATTCAATATTTGAGACGAGTAACAGGCCTTATTTATTATTATGTTTACCCAATTTGGACAAGTAACAATGAGGCATTATACGCATTACCCGCGTGAGCATTTTTTAATTTACTTCTCAACTCAATTGTAATCCCATTTTCTATAACAGTAGAAATTAGCAGTAGATGTTCATAATAATGTTTGCAAATTTCGAATTTTTCTAAAATTTGCAACTATTTTTTTTTAATTTTCGACTCTCAAGGAATAACGGTGAATAGCAATAATAAAGTACTGATTTTGTTCGCAATTCTCCATGGAAAGCATGACAAACAACCCCCTGTCATTGAAGCCCCACTAATGCCCCCATGTACCATCGACCGGTGACAACCGCCGGTTTATATCATACCACATGAATTCATCATATTTCAAGTTTAAAAAAATCACAAATTAATTGAGAACTGAATAGAACAGAATAGTGAAATAATTTACTTCATAATATACAGCGCTGTCAAATTTACTCGACGACGGAGAACTCATCTTTACCAGAAGCACTTTCCTCACTTCACAAATGTCTTAACACAGGTGAATTATTGAAGAGCCCCGAGAGGTGGCATTTATGAAAATAACTCGTTTATTTGTTTTGTCAATATTTCCACAATGTCGGGGAAGCGTTGGGTATTTAACGAGTTAATATTTAGTCTTGTTGGGGAGAATGAACATCTCGGTTGGATGTCCACGCACCGACTGACGACACATGTGCTCCAACTAAGTAGCCTTACGGCCTTCTTCAATTTTTGTCATTGTCTCTGCTGATGTTTGCCATAAAGGGAGCGGGAGGAGGGGTGTGATATCATTAGGCATTTTTTGTCTGACCATGAACGGGATCTGAAATATTCTACTGCCTATCCTTTCATGCGAGAGGATGACACTGACTTTACCAAAATTTGTAACTTTAACTGAATTTTTCTCCAATATTTTTGGGAAATATGTAGAAAAACACTGCAACAGACCTCCAGTAGAAGGGAATTTTCATAATTCCCTTCAGACATGACGAAAATTCTTGATCCCAGAAAAAAGCGTGTTGAAAGAATTAGCATTCTTTTTTAATTTTTTTTAATCGTTATTTTACATCGCTTCGACCCGGTTAGGGTATACTGCGATGATAATCAAGACTTTAAATGGTTAGATCGCACCATTCTACCCGGCCGAGATTTGACCTCGGAACCTTTCGCATGTGAGGCAAATTTCTTTTTTAATCTGCGATGAGAACATTAATTTTATGTTAACGTGAGAAAATTAATCCTTTTCTTTTTCTATGTTTTGACGAAATATTATGACGTGCTTTGTATTGTTGGGTGACAGAATATCTCCGAAGACGGAGAAGATGACAGTGACTTTATCAAAATTTTGATAACTTTCATAGAATTTTTTTCTAATATTTTTGAGAAATATGCAGTAAAATATTCTAACAGACCTTCAATGGATCGGAATTTACACAATTCCTTTCAGACAAAGAAAAATCCCAGTTCAAGACGAATGCGCGTTGAAATCTGTGGTTTCGAGAATTTAGAAAAACATTTCATGAAACTAGCATTTTTTTAAAATCTGTGATGAGACCATTGATTTCATGGAAACGTGAGAAAATGAATCCTTTTCTTTTTTTATATTTCGACGAAATATTATCACGTGCTTTGTATTTGACAAATTGTATCTCCGGTTGACAAATAGTATCTCCGCAGACGGAATATATGATTGATGCAGTTTAGTGATGTCATCGATGCTATCACGGCACGTTTTAAAATCTGAAACGATTGATCTCTCGAATATCGATGAAATTAAATGATACACGCTCAATACATGTGTTATATGAGACACGTGGAGTTGATTATCTGCTTGACTCTTGATTTGGGATGCGCAGAATGGATTCAGTGAGATTGAACAAAGAAATATCTGGCGGATGATTTTTTGAACATAGAAATTCACGTAAATGTACAGAAGCATCCTCTACCTTGCAAATGGTTTCCATAAGTTATACAAATTTTGCATCACCTCAAATTGATGGAAAAATGTTGAAGGGACCTGCTATGTTCCATTACGATCGATTTAGTTGGTGTCATGATTGATTATTAATTGAATGATCAACATAGCGAGTGGATAGTGAGTTCAAACCCAACTTTGGGTGATTTTTTGCATTTTCTCGAGTTGATTTATACCACATTACAGCCTAAAATAAGGCTCAGACTGGATTCCCTCTCTCTAGTTATAATAGTTAAGTTCACTGAATATTTATGGAAATGAAATGGTTTCATGTTTATCATTCGTTATGATTTATGAAATCTACTGATACGAAGAGTCAATTGTGGTGATAAAATCCATTAAATAATTATACGGATTATTCATCGGATCCTCATTTTCCAATCGACATTTTGAATAACTTTTCAAGTTTTTCCCCAACTTCTCAAGATTAATTGTGATAAAAGTATATATGTATGTAAGTTCAGGACTATCTCAACAATATCTGCATTTGGACAAAAAGATGATTAAATTTCATCGAGTCATCAGCGAACGATTAAAGCACAATTTGATCACATACATACGGTCAAGGTCTAAAGATTGCGGTTGGGAACTCTACGGATCATAATAGCTTGATACAACCCAAAAAATCCAAAATTGAAATTTGCATGATTGCGGAGTTTCCAAAAGAAATGCTGATGTTAGTCAATCCTCACGAGAGAGAGTATCATTTTGTAATTGAAATTATTAATTCATCCGACAGTTTTACTATGCCATACACACGATGATAACATTAATCAGCCCGGGGATTAATATTGGATACTCCGCAGTGGCTTTACCATTATTGACGAAGAATGATCCATCAGAGGGAAGTGATGTTATTTTGTATGGTAATGAAACTGCTGCTACATTGTTTAGTAAGTTGTTGACATTTTTTTTCATTCTCTTTTCATTCTATTTTTCTTTCTATTTTTCTTCATCATTACAAATGTGGGAACATCCCATCAATTGAAATTGAAAAGAGACACATTCTGTCCCCCTTTCTCGCATGTGAGCTAGTATCCTAGAGATGGAATGCTCGAGGGTCGTGGGTTCAAACCCGACTAGTTAAAATCTGGCCTAAATTTGGGTTAGATTGTCCCCCGTCCCCATCGGTAATCCTCGACCATTGGCGAGAACGCACGAAGACGTCCGTGCGTGCCGTGATGGTCAGGACATCATCGAATCTCATCAGGAACGAATCATAGAAAATTATCCGGGCGCACATCGGCGGAATTATCGGGCATCTCATCGGTCAATTATCGACAGTCATCGTAAATCATCGGGAACTTATCTCGTTATATTTCTGTTTGTACAGTCCACTCCGGTACCTCAACTATTTATTTGAACCTCATCCGGTATAATTTTCAGTGCAATTTATCGTTTTAAATATAGTGACAATCAACGAAACTCATCTTCATTTATTCTCCGGCAAATCATCCCACTTCACTTTCTCTCCCGACTTCCCGATCATCACAATCCCATAAGATTTTTAACACCGACCTTTGGTGATTGTTGCGTTTTCTCAAATTGTTTTACACCGCATTTCAACCCAAAATAAGGCTCAGACTGGATTCCTAAGGGTTATGGATTCAAACCCGACCTTTGGTGATTTTTTGCATTTTCTCAGATTCATATCTGCCACATTTATACCAAGATATAAATAATAAATCAATAACTATTAATCATGTTTTCTAAATGCCAAGGTCAATTGAAAAAATGTTGAAGCGTCACCTGACACCTGAAAGAAAATGACGAAAATCCAGGACAACAGAAAACTCAAACCTCATAATTACTCTTTTATTCCATTACCAACAGTATTACATTATGCCGAAACAATGTATTTTATCTATAATATATATCTCCATTATGTATACATAATTAGTAGTAGTAGCAGTGAGTCTCAAGTAGGCGAGCCGATAGATTCTCAAAAGTTAAACAGCATTAGGTACGCGTTGTGTCGAATTAGCCCCTTCCCAATCCCTCAATTCAAACCCTCGCATTCCAGTGTTTCTTAATTAATCCATTAATTTATTCATGTTCAATTACGATAGATTTATTTGGCATGAGTCTAATTGAATTCCTAGGACCGTTATCTCCATCACCGAAATCCCAAAATAACGATTTCGCTTCAGTTTTCTTTTTAATTCACCTACATTATTTATTCTTAATTGATTTAATTGTTTAGTATTTTTTTAGTAATTGATCTCGTTTGAAAACACAGTAGATCCATCGTTGATTCACGTTAAGGAATGAAAAAATAATTGATCAACTAATTAATTTATCATTTTAGTTCTTACAGAACACAATTGGAAATGATTGTACATTTTCATTATTCAATTAATTAGCAAAATAAATAATCAATTCGTCAATTGAAAAATTAATTACTTTTTTTTAACAAGGTATGGGCTAAAATTGATTAATAATCAAGAAGAGATGGAACAATTCCTCTTTTTTTTTGCCTCTTCACTTGTATTTTGTGCTAGTTATCAATTAATTAATTAGTTTTTAGTTTCAGGGGATCTTTTTTCCACTTCTTCTTCCCTCAACAGTGATATGCATACAGGAGTGAGGCCACGAGTGTCGTCAGACTGAGATTGGAGATGTGACGAATAGTTGCCCCAGAATCATTTCTACCTGGTTTCTTTCTTTTACCTTTGGATTTACCACGTCTCTTGCGTGTGTATATAGCATTTGTGGAGTTTGTGGGTGACTCGACGTTGCAGTAACTCATGTCACAGCAGCTTATGCAAATCTGGTTGAGAAAAATAAATTTTTCAGACTTCTTTTTCATCATTTTTAGTGAAAATTAATGATGAAAAATGAGATTTTCGTGAACAAAAGCAATTAAGCTGATTATAAAACGGCTTTAATGAGTTTCTTTCGATGAAACTGATTAATTTATATTGATTCATACTCTCTGAGTGTCCACGGGCACACAACCGACGGATGCTGGACCGCATTCGGCACTGCTGGCACAACTCTTACTGACCTGCATGATAAAACAGACAATTCTGCATTACCATTTACTCATAACCCAGGGGTCTGTCCAACAATTCGAATATTACTCCCTGGGATATACTCGAGTGACCCCATGACCTTTTGGTAAATTGGGTCATCGGGTATTCTCGAAATACCACTGCTGAAAATTGACGTTTCCATAATAACTGAAGTGGTTGAACGTTTCAGAGGAGATGAAATGGAATCTTTGATTTGATGGATTATCTCGGTTGTTATTGGCTTTAGGAGGAAATGTCATGGGACTCTTTATATGGAGCATTTAATTTCTGATGGACAAATGTATTAATTTTTTTTTTTAGAATAACTACAGAAGGAAACTTGCATGATTTTTTTTCAATTTTCTACAATTTTCAACTTTCAAAATATTACTCATTAATGGGAGACTACTGTGAGTTTTAAAAGTCGTGGGTTATTGGAGTAAGACTTTTCATACTTGAAGATCGATTATATAGATCTAAAAACGAATAATTAGTGCAAAAAAAAAATTTTTTTGTTTGTTTGCCCGAAAAAGCTTTACATGCTAAAAACAGACCAGGACCTCCAATTTTTGAACTACAAAAGATTTTTGTTTTCAACATTTTCGGAAAAATGGGTGGAACACCAATTACGACCCAGTTTTTTGGAATTTGACTCCTACACAGCTGATTTCGTTTTTTTTTTCATATAAAAAAATTCACTATTTCTGTAAAAAAATAAAAAAAAAGCAAATTTAGCCATATTAGAGGTGAATTAAAAAAAAATAGCTCGTAATTGTTATTCCACATATTTTTCCGAAAATTTTGCAAAAAAAATCATTCGTAGCTCAAAAATTGGAGGCCCTGGACTGTTGGCATTTTAAGCGTTTTCGGGCAAACGAACAATAGAAAAAAAAATTTTTTCCACTAATTATTCGTTTTCAGATCTATAAATCGATCTTCAACGTATGAAAAGTGTCACTCCAATAATCCACGACTTTTAAAACTCACAGTAGTCTCCCCTTAATTAATAATTAATTGTTAAAAATCGAAGATTTCAAACGCTTTGAAGTCGCTAATGTCTTCGTACAGATGATCGAGCACTGTGGCAATCACACAATGGCTCATTGAGGTTCTTGCAAATTTGAAATCTTCAACTTTTAGTAATTGATTATTAACCAAATTATTTTTAAAAAATTATTAATTGATTTGGATACTCACTAAGACACTGTTGCCACGACTGTCAAGAATATGCAGCGATCGACAGAAAACCCGGCCACCAGTTGGACAAGGTGTGTCTATAGCCCATTTATTGCACATCTGTTCAAGTACCAAGAATTTTTAAAAAATGCAGTAACGAATTTTTTCGATTGAGAGAGTGAGAACAATCGCAAGAGCCATGGGGAATTGCGATGAAAAATTTCATCTCTGGAATTCGATTCCAGTCTCTGATGTCACGCTGACAATTCACGAATCAATTGAAAGTTGAATAGACATTCTCCCTCGAGCTTTCACGTTTTAAATTGAAATTTCAGGGGAGACGAGAGATAAAAAGTCGTGAATTCAGTCTGAATTTGGGAATTGAATTTTTAGAAAATATAAAATATTCACTCATCGAGAAAAAAAAAATGCAGTCCAAGGCGAAGAAAGAAGTGAGATAAATCCGATTAAAAATGGGAAATCTAATAATCCCAGAAATTTTATAACCCAGGATATATTAGTCTGCTCGGGGGCTGGATGTGGCCTCTCAAAATAGAACAGGGGTATCGATAAGACGTCGTGAAATAAATCAACTCTTGGTGGGGTTGTCTGGGCTTCACCAAAACGAGCCTTCGGGGGCTGCGGACAAGAATGGGTGAAGAGATCCGTGGAATAGAAAGAGAAAGAGAGAGAGCGAGAGAGAGAGAGAGAGAGAGAGAGAGAGAGAGAGAGTGAGACATTGAGCCCAGTGGTGTATGTGAAGAGAGGGAGGTCTCTGGACCAACCGCGATAGGGGTATTATATACTCTCGGAGAGTGTTTAATGGAGCCGTCGATACCTGGTTATCGCTGACGTTGACGCAAGTGTAGCACGTTAGACCTGAAACAAAAAAGAAATTAACACGTCAGTGATGATTTAGGCGTCAACATCTTCTTTCTCCTTCGCAGTCTATGTTCCACGTGAGAATATTTGATGGAGTGGAACAGATTTACTTGAGGGGAATTAACCAACTTGAAAGAAGGAAATTTAATCTTTCACAAAAATTGAAGTTTGAAATTGAATTGATTATCAGAAATATCCCTAGAAGAATTTGAACTGTTGGCAGGAGAAAATATTATATAATTTATTGTACGAGAATTATTTGATCTGTGAGAACTCCAGAGGTTTATACCGTAGAAAAACTGTTGAAAATTTTTGTCTGAAATTTCCGGTACACTTTTTGGAAATTTTCATCGCATTTAATTATCACTGAAATTTCAAGGAATTTCGTTATTGAAAATTCACAATTTCGTGGAAAAATCAAAGGGAAATGTAAATTTCAGTTCCATTTGTCCCTGAAAATCAATAGAAAACCAGAAAATTCCGGTGAATAGATTCTTGAATTTTCAGGACAGTGACACTGAATGGGATTTAGGGGGAATAAATCATGAAATTTTAGATTTCACTGAAAATTCAATGTAATTTGGCACTGAATATTCATATTAGATTGGAAATTCAAATAAATTAAGGAATTCTCATCTTTATTTATTTATTTTATTCATTTGAAATACGTGCCTTCGTGAGTTTACAGCCGTGGCACACACTCACAATGCACGGGGAGGCCAATACAAAAATAACAAATGCTTATGATAAGAAGTTGCGGTGTTTAAACCTAAGCTACATACAGAAAAAAAGGAGATATAAAAGGTATTTGTCATTGCGAAACTATACATTTCCATTACAAAATCAGTTATCTTCAATGTCCTATAAGTCTTGGACCAACATCGTCTTTATACTGCTTAAAATCCTCGAATTTTATTGAATTTTCAGTGAAACCTGAAATTTCATTGTTTTTCCCCCTAAATCGCATGCAGTGTCACTGTCCTTAAAATTGATAGTCAACTGTTCATGAAATTTTATTTTTTTCTAACAGTGAAGAATACATTGACGAGGAAAGAATATTTTTTTCCCAAAAAAAATGTCCCCTCGAAATTATTTAGTTTTGCCAATAACACAGTTTTCGCCAAGAAAATTGTAGTTTCCTCTTGAAATTATCATTTGTTCCATGGAAATTATCAGTGTTTATTGAACAAAGATATACACTACTTAATAACATTCACTAGATAAAACCGGAGCCTCATATAATTCTCTGTATAGCGAATGTATTCACCCGAAAGACACATAAATGTCTCACGAGAACAATTGCTATTACGAAAATTATGATGTTTTGGTGGAAACTTTCTTTTTTATCCATAAGTAAATTGATTCAAGACCACAAAAGATCTCTTCAAGAAAATATGATTTTTCAGCAGAACTAATTCCCGATTTATAGATTTCATTCATAATGTCTTAATTCCTTAATTTCTTCCACTGAAGAAATAATTCATAATGTCGTTCACTGAAGAAATAATTAAAATAAATCCCGAGGAATTTCATTCTTTCATTTTATTGATTCTCAAAAATGATTCCTACCAACACCACAACTTCTGCACAACTTTGAAAAATTCTCCGAGATTTAATTTTCCGCTTGACAAATATAATTTTCATAATTTAAAATGTCCCACCATAATCTCGAAATACATTATAACTCTGGTTGAACTCGTGAAATTGTCGCATGCATCAGGAAAATCTAAATCTCAACTCGGTAGTAAGCCCAGACCCCCGGCAAATCTTATTAAAAAAACTTTCAGATTTATCTTGAAATTGCGTTAGGCAAAGAGTCCCAGTAAGAAGGTCTAAATGAAAAGGGTCAAACTTTAAATTGATTTATCTCGAAAAAAAAAAACTGGGCGGACAAGTTTATCGAGCTAATTTCCTCTATGGATTGAGAGAGTAACCGGACGATTTCCGGTCGAGCGGAATATGTGATCAAAAGAGTCTTTTAAAAATTGATGTGCCTTTCGGAACTGTGAGGTACAAGGACAGTTCGCTTGACCTCAAAGTGAAGTTGATTTAATAAACCACGGGCGTTAAAAACGAGTGTAAAATCCGGAAATAAATGTTAAAACTTGAAATCAGGGATTAAGGGGAGACTACTATGAGTTGTAAAAGTCGCAGATAATTGGAGTGAGACTTTTCATACGTTGAAGATCGATTATATAGATCTGAAAATGAATAATTAGTGCAAAAAAAAATTTTTTCATTGTTCGTTTGCCCGAAAACGCTTAAAATGCCAAAAACAGTTCAGGGCCTCCAATTTTTGAGCAACGAAGGATTTTCTCTCAAAATTTTCGGAAAAATCTGTGGAATAACAATTACGAGCTATTTTTTTTAAACTCACCTCTCACATGGCTAAATTTACTTTTTTGTATTTTTTTACACAAATAGTGAATTTTTTTATATGAAAAAAACCGAAATCAGCTGTGTAGGAGTCGAATTCCAAGAAAACTGGCTCGTAATTGTTGTTCCACACATTTTTCCGAAAATTTTGAAAAAAAAAAATCTTGTAGCTCAAAAATTGGAGGCCCTGGACTGTTTTTAGCATTTTGAGCGTTTTCGGGCAAACAAACAATTTAAAAAATTGTATTTTGCACTCTTATTCGTTTTTAGATTTAANATTCATAATGTCTTAATTCCTTAATTTCTTCCACTGAAGAAATAATTCATAATGTCGTTCACTGAAGAAATAATTAAAATAAATCCCGAGGAATTTCATTCTTTCATTTTATTGATTCTCAAAAATGATTCCTACCAACACCACAACTTCTGCACAACTTTGAAAAATTCTCCGAGATTTAATTTTCCGCTTGACAAATATAATTTTCATAATTTAAAATGTCCCACCATAATCTCGAAATACATTATAACTCTGGTTGAACTCGTGAAATTGTCGCATGCATCAGGAAAATCTAAATCTCAACTCGGTAGTAAGCCCAGACCCCCGGCAAATCTTATTAAAAAAACTTTCAGATTTATCTTGAAATTGCGTTAGGCAAAGAGTCCCAGTAAGAAGGTCTAAATGAAAAGGGTCAAACTTTAAATTGATTTATCTCGAAAAAAAAAAACTGGGCGGACAAGTTTATCGAGCTAATTTCCTCTATGGATTGAGAGAGTAACCGGACGATTTCCGGTCGAGCGGAATATGTGATCAAAAGAGTCTTTTAAAAATTGATGTGCCTTTCGGAACTGTGAGGTACAAGGACAGTTCGCTTGACCTCAAAGTGAAGTTGATTTAATAAACCACGGGCGTTAAAAACGAGTGTAAAATCCGGAAATAAATGTTAAAACTTGAAATCAGGGATTAAGGGGAGACTACTATGAGTTGTAAAAGTCGCAGATAATTGGAGTGAGACTTTTCATACGTTGAAGATCGATTATATAGATCTGAAAATGAATAATTAGTGCAAAAAAAAATTTTTTCATTGTTCGTTTGCCCGAAAACGCTTAAAATGCCAAAAACAGTTCAGGGCCTCCAATTTTTGAGCAACGAAGGATTTTCTCTCAAAATTTTCGGAAAAATCTGTGGAATAACAATTACGAGCTATTTTTTTTAAACTCACCTCTCACATGGCTAAATTTACTTTTTTGTATTTTTTTACACAAATAGTGAATTTTTTTATATGAAAAAAACCGAAATCAGCTGTGTAGGAGTCGAATTCCAAGAAAACTGGCTCGTAATTGTTGTTCCACACATTTTTCCGAAAATTTTGAAAAAAAAAAATCTTGTAGCTCAAAAATTGGAGGCCCTGGACTGTTTTTAGCATTTTGAGCGTTTTCGGGCAAACAAACAATTTAAAAAATTGTATTTTGCACTCTTATTCGTTTTTAGATTTAATATATAATCGATCTTCAACGTATGAAAACTCTCACTCCAATAACCCACGACTTTTAAAACTCATAGTAGTCTCCCCTTAATCCAAATGATTTCACCAAATTCTGCAACACATACCATAATTTCGGTCGGCAGTCAGAAAATCGTACATCAGGTTAATGCATGGAGATACGCCCTTTGCTCTGGGTTATGCTGAGTGGCATGCATTATTAATGCTAAAAGGTCGCTTCTCCAATTCAAATGGGCAGACTTTTGGCAAAGAAGCATTTTGGCACATACGATCTTTTGGTTTCAAGCCTGATATAATTCATGTTTAATTCATGTAGCCCCAGTACTCCATGGACTCAACATAAATAATGAAGTATTAATCCCGACAAGACGTATTAAAAGTGATATTCAAACAAAATTTTTAACCCAGAGTTTAAAAAATGGAGAAAAATACATTGAAAATGCACTCACGATACGTGTCTTCCTCGTCCGCTGGCCTCTTCAGTCCATTCTGCTTCGTTTTCAGCTCGTCCCTGCCAACCTCGTTTTCCGATACGAGATTCCTGCCGCATGTAGTTTCCGCAGCTAGGAGCAGCCCTACCATAACCCACGTGATCATTCCTCACATCTCTGTAAAAAAAAATCAAGTGGACAATTGAATTTTTTTAATTAATGGGCAGAGCTATTGTTGCTAATAAATTAGGAATTTGCCTCCGAATGGGTTCTCTTTTTTCAATTCTTATTTCACTATTTTCTTCTTTTATTTCTTCATGTCATGGTACTATCACCAAGGGAAATGTCTTCAAAATTTTGCGTATTATTTAGTTTTGTCAAAGAACACTACATTCAGCCCCTCTCAAGACTCGAATTCGTTTTCAGTCCGGATTTAATCTAGGCTCAATCAAGGGTGAATCAGTGTATTGTCGGAATTTAATCAGGGTTTGTTCAGGATTTAGCCACAATTTATACCAGTTTCTGTCAGAAGTTATATATAAGTTATACCAATTGCGGACGCCCCCAGCCAAACCTCCTATTATCGGAATACTTGAATATTTTGCCAGATTTAACCGACTGTAATGGTTAGGTCGGTGAGGTGTTGCTCCGGCGGACATCCAAGGTAAGAGCAGAGTTGCTTTACATGGACATGGAAAAAAAATGAAAATAATTCGAAGAATTATAACTATAAAATGATACACAGTTATATACAAATAATATGTCAAACGAAATACTTAATAAGCTCGAGAGTCACTACTACTTGACCAAAGTTTATACACCAAGCAAAAATATTTCTCATTGTAATTTTTTTCAAAACTGGTTTTCGTTATATGCAAATACTGTATATATGTAAATATTGTTGGACATCAAATAAAAACCCTGTTAAATAAAAAAAAAAATTCCAAGCTAAGCAGCGTTGAGCATGGTTAGTACTTCGCTGGGTGATTCTTTCAGTAATCGCGAAAAAACTCACTTTCTCTTTCAAATGGCAAAAACAATGTGCTGTAATTCAACAATAAATCGTTCCATCATATTCTGATAGAATTAAAAGTTATCAATTATTATATAAGTGTTATCAATTTTTTGAGCCATGACTAATTCTATTTTGATGACAATTTTTTGAGTGATCATTTGAAAAATCGATTTTTGGAAAAATATCAATTTTTTCAAATCTGTATGAAAAATTAAATGTTAATTGGGGTCAATGAACCATTACAAAGCATCCATTCGGTAGCAAAGATTGATAAAAAAATTATATTCAATTTTTATAAAATTTTTAAACCAGTGAGATAAAATGATGGCTCGTTATTTCCGTTTTCAATTAGATAAGCCCTCAGCAAAACCACCTGATCACTCTCTTCAACCCTCGACTAATGAAATTACTCCGTTTGAACGAGAATGATGGCTCTTACGAATAACACCAAAGTCGAAAAGTAATTTTCCCGTACGTAAAAAGGGCGGTAGAAGGAAAAAAAGGAAAGTGATACAGAGACAGAAGGGATGAGAATCACCCTCTCGGACACTCCACATTTTTCTCCTCTCATTTCTACTTCTTTGTGAAAATGGACTCTGTTCGTACTCCCGGGGATAGTCCACCATGTTTTTTTTTCCTCCTTTACTTCTCTCGTCTTTCGCTTTTTTGCCATCGATTTTCCGGGATTAAAACGGCCCCGGGGACAGTGCAATGTCTCTTAACCGTTTACCATTGGCTGAAGAGTATCTCCTTCACTGGGTTTTAGTCTCCACAAGCAATTTCAGAATCTATCTGTGAACCGATGAGATGTGTACGGTGGATAGAGATGGAGCTGAGGCCACAGGATACTCCAGTGATCCTGATCTGGATTGGGGAATTACACCGATAGCTTTTGCCGGAAATCTCTCTCCCTCTTCGTTAGGGCGGGACGAAGCCACTGACTACACTTATCATAATCCGGATCAAGTCGCGCTCGACTTCAGGATTAAGTATCAACCACATACGGGGAATAATCAGTTTGGAATATTTTATCTCTCGCACGTGCATTGTTTCACAAATGCGTAGTAAAATCAACTAAATATGACCTTTATTGGGTGCATTTACCTTGAAATATTGCAGTGCAATTAATGAACGAGTATAAAAAAATTGAAAATGCTATACCCCCGGTGGATCAGTGGTAAGGGGCTCGGACTTGTAATTTGTCGACACGGGTTCGATTCCCAGTCAAGTTTATTTTTTTTTGTAACGTTAAAAGGAAACCACAAATCAATGTGTATCCTTTATGGAAAAATAGGTGAAACTTTTTCCGTCAGCAATTTATTTCACAAAGCTTGTGGGTGTGGGAATACTTGAAGCTCATATTAGCTTGACAAGGTGTCTTTCTTAAGATCTCTTTTTAAAGTATATCCCAAGACAATACCACCCAAAAGTTAGTCCCTATGGATTTCCGGAAAAAAGTTCTTAATAACTTAATTCATTTCATTCTCATAAATTATTGAGTTTTTCTATGCTCATATGTTGTTGATAAAGGCACCATTAACTAATTGAATAAAATAAGAAAGTATTTGTTAATTAATTGTTTGAATCAAATAAGAAATGATTTCACAAAATTTCTACTTTTTTAAAGTTGAATATCGCAGAAACTATATACTGGAAAATTTTACGAAAAATGCGTAACGTGGCTATTTTTTGTAATACCTGCCGAGTTCACTATTCGAAACGGTAGTGGGGGTAGAGTGGTCGTTTCTGTGCACGAGTCCATAAAGTGCGTAAAGTTCTTCGTTTTACACACTCGAAATTCACTTCACGTACACGGAGAGAAATTTTTGATAAAAATTACCCTATCGTTCTATAAAAGTGTATAATGAGTCATCGTTTCCTCACTTCTATCCCGAAATTTAGTAAAAATTAATATATGATAATCAAATTTCATTCTACGTTAGAGAAATTTTATCCTGATAACAATAAAAATTACTGTGCCGGTAGGGTAAAAATTACTGTACCGGTAGGGTAAAATTTACCAACCGTTCTAGAATTTTCGTTGTTATCTATATAAAAATTATTGGACTGGAAGAGTAAAATTTGTTATGCGTCAGGATAAAATATCTCTAATGTAGAATAAAATTTGATCATCATATATTAATTGTTATTAAATTTCGAGATAGGAATGAGGAAACGATGACTCAGGATACAATTTTACGCACGCCGTGCGGAAAACAACCGCTTTACACATTAAACCGTTTCGAAAAGTGCACTTTTCAGACAGGTATCACAAAAAAATATTGAGCTTTATTATCAATCTCTGATTCGTTCATTTTCCTCCGGTGCAAATCCTTGCTGGGAATGTTATGCAAGTGTAAAAATATTTAATAGAATGTAACCCCTCATTTACATCCACGTCCCCTCCGTGCATTCCCATTTTATTCCACTAAAACTTGCTCATCCACCTTTCACGATTTTTTTTTATCCCCAAAACAATTTGTAGTTTCTGGATAGCGTGAGGATACACGTCAGTATGCGTAATTTCCCGCGAGGAATCCCATTTGCTGCTCGTTGGTGAAATCATTCGACTGTACTTTAGTATTTTCTTGGTGAGGGAAAACTTGAGGCTCTGCCTATTTTGAATCCACATCCTGATGTATTGAATTTCGTTCCACTCCAACACATCTTTCTGCTTTCGTTATTTGCGTGAGATTGAAATATTTTCAACCTTTTGTACAATGAGATAATTCCTGAGACAGATAAGTAAAATCCGACGGTAAATTGTAAAGGAGTATAACTCTCCATAACTTATGATCATAAATATTTTAATTATCCTAATGATGATTAAATGATGAGAAAATAACACTTCTGCATGATCATCAAATCATCTCAACCCGGAAAAAAAAATCGAAAAAAGAATATATCTTTTTACGCGAGTCATTATTCCAGAGATACCAAGAGAAAAGGTGAATGATAAAAAAAGCCACCGAAGGAAAAAGAGAAAATATGAATTTCACTTGTGTCTGCTTTTATCCTCTCTCCCTCATTCACCTCGTCTTCACTCTCCCGGGGCTCCATCCACCCCTGTAGAACGTCTGCTTTACACGCTCGGACTCAATGGGACACGCAATTCAGGGAGAAAAGATAGAGGAAATAAAGGATGGGGTAAAAGAACAGTCGCTTCAAGCTTCACTACAAAAGTAAGAGGCATCGAATGGCTAACGACCATGAGGTGTAGCGTAGCTATTATTTTTATTGCTCCATTGATCTATTTTGTGACGAAACAAGTGGTCTCATTTGTCGAAGTAAAATAAATGAGAGCCAGTGGACACCATTTTTGCTTTCGCATGGAAGCTTTCTAATCGTTAAAATTCAAGTTTTGGATTTTTTGAGTTGTATCGACCCAGTATGATCCAAAAAGTCCGAAAACGCCATCTTTAAACCTCGTTCATACGTGCACTGATAGAAAGGATTAGTTATTGTTAACGAATGGATTTGGTGGGGGACAAGAGTCTCTTCAGTCTCACCAAATGTTCATTCTTTAATATTATAGTTAATGAATGCACATTTGAGAAGGCTTGTTTGACTCGATTTTCACCTTTCACGTGAACCGTTCGTTAATTCATTTGGTCATATTCAACTCTACCATTCGTTAATAGTTAACGAATCTCGTTTGGAATGAATGAATCAGTCTATCGGTGTGTGTGTTTATGTGTGTACGTATCTAACAAAGTTTTTCTTCAATGGTTGGCTAATGAATGGATGGAATTTAGTCTTTCTTTTTTTTTAATGCAGGTATTGTTGAGCCCTATCAATCGCCAATAATTCAAATTTAATTCATCGATTATTTTTTATTATTTTCAAATTTTTTCGAAAATCGGTTGCTCCACGATAACAAAAAAAATGTTCTGAATTTATTGAATGGTGGCTTGAAAAATTTGTTTGGATGTCCTTTTGACCGAGCTCGAAGATGAAGGCGATAGCAATAATCGTTATTTTGATTTATTTAAAAATTTGCAAAACTATTGTATTTTTTGAAAATCAGAATTCCAGGGACATCTTTAAACATCATGCTTCAAATGAATTTAATCATCGCTTAAAATGTTTGTTTTGAGGAGTTTCAGTAATTTTCACCACAAACCGATAATGTGCTATAGCGAACTGAATATGTAATATAACA